TTATAAGCCAGTGTAATTTTAAAAAAAATCTGTTGAATTATTTAGAATATATGGATAAAATTTTACATAATTATTTAATGTTGTCTTCTAATGATTTACATCAAATAATATTAATCTATTAATCCAAACATTAATTATGCAAAAACAGCTATTTCATAATTTGTATGTCTTGAGCTGCATTAGGCCCTCCAAGAAATAATGCAAAAAGTCTTTTAATTAGCATATTCTGCAAAAAGCAGGATTTTAGGATAGAGGTGAGCAAACATATTGTTTTGTTCTAGCAGTTAAAAAAATATAAATAAATAAATAACTAAATTGCCGGATGGTACATGAGTTCTGGACATGTTTGTCCCATAAACTTCTTGTTATACCTTTGCCACTTTGCCTTGCCTGAACTGTTGCACCTTTCTCAGATCTCTCTTCAGCAGCATCTATAGTATAAGAGCTTTAATTTGATACCTGTCTCATAGTTTGAGTAAACAGCAGGGCTAAAAATAAGTCTTGCAGACTCATATCCTCTTTTAATTAATATATAGATTATTTATTTTTTATTTCTGTGGAGTTTAAATTTTACACATATTCTGTTTTTTAAATGGTTTTTTGATAAGTTTTTTTTAATTTTTGCTGTTCTAACTGATGATGAAATATATGAGAAGGTTGAAAAAAAATTATTTTTCCTTTCCTATTAAAATTTATTGCTGAAGTTGTCCAAGGTATGCTGCTTATTTCATATGGATACTTATCTAGTTTCAGTAATTTCTATATTTCAAAGTATATTTTAACTTCTATGCATTTGGAGCTAGAACTGTTTTTAAGATGACCAAGACAAAACCTTTCGCACTTGTTTCTAGATGTTTATACACGAATACAAATGTTTTAGGCCTTCTTAATAGGCCTTCTTCAGCCATTGTCAAACTAAATAATGTAAAACTTTCTACAAAATAGTATTGGTGCTTCAAATAAAAATTTGATTTTTAGTTGATACGTTAATAAAATATAGAAATCTAATTGCATAAATTTATCAAATGACAGATTAAAAATATTGCATTTGACAAAGGTATAATGTATCTATTTTCTTAAAATACAATTTTCATACAATGCATTTATAATGCAGTTTCACAGTATAAAAGCACAATGTTTTCACATAAAAATTTTGAGAATTTTATAAAAGTCTTTTCATATTAAAACTATGTGCTTACTACTTATTTCTTTTAAATAATGAACTTTAACCAACATTAATTTAAGTTTTTCTTCATCTGTACTATAAATATATAGCATTAAAATTATAATATTAATCATACAAAATGTATTTTTATTTTGTATATATCAGTTCCCAAGATAAGATTGATAACTTTCAAATTTTACTGCTAAGGCACTGTCATTGTTTGTAGCCTGGGTCATTTTACCATATCAATATCTCATTTCCCATAGCTCTAGTTCTCTTTGTTCAAAAGTTATTTGTGTGACTTAGGACTGTATCATATACACTATATACAAACATAAAATAAATTAACTCAGTTTTGATAGTCAAACATATTTAAAAATAAGACTAAACTATATTCTGTACTTTAATTAATTAATTTAGCTCAATTCTAGTCTATGAATAAAATAGCTTTTAGATATGGTTGGATGTTAAGATTTTATGAAGATTATTAAAATATCAATGGTTACTATTTTATATTGTTGGAAATAAAAGTAATATTTTATGTAATTGACTCTTAATTCAGTCTATATTTTTCAGAAGAATTATAACTATATTCTGATTTATAATTAAATAATTTTTATAAAATTTATCATTTATTATTAAGAAATGCATTGATGTATAAAATAAATAAGGTTATATTAAGGTCAAAATTAAGGTTTTATTAACAGATAACAAGAGTATCAAGAATGAAACAAAGTACCTATAAGACAAAGCAAACAAATCTGAATTAATAGACCACAAAAATAGTACAAGAGAAAAAATGTTATTCTCCTAACAGGTTTGTTTTCTTGGTAAGATAGAAATCTTGGATCTATTAAATGCCAGAGATAACAGAAAACAGAACACAATATTTTTTGACAAAGTAAACATTGACAAACTTTATGAAATCTAGTAGTTTCTAATTACTTGATTTTGCTATCTAATGGAGTACGATGGTAACAAATTATGTTTGAAATATAATATTTATTTTAGATATAAAAAAATTATTTAAATTTTCCATTACTGGTTTTGTTGTGGATTTTAAAGAATTAAAATCTATTGGCTTTTTTCTCAGTAACACATCATACAAGGAGCATTTGTTGATATATGTTTTAACAAATGCTTCTTGTGTGGTGTGTTACTGAGAAAAAATCAAATAGCTTTTAATTCTTTAAAAAAATTATTTTCTTTCTAGACATTTCTGTGTAGATTTGATAATGTCTGAAATGGCTAGCTATTTATAAATAAATCTTTATAAATAATTAGTAAAAAAATCAATATGTTTTAATGCTTTATTTTTAAAACTATTTAATAAATAAATTTGTAAATTATAAATATGATTCGACAGCATATAACTATGAACTACACTTGCAGTTCATAGTTATATGCTAAGGGGAACTATGAATTACAGTTATAGTTCATAGTTCCCCTTAGAAGTGACTTTTAACCTTATTTATGTTTAATCAAGTTAGTTAAAATATATTTATAAAAATACTTTTTCATTACAAATCAAAAAAATTTTCTGACATTTTAAAAGTAATATTCTAAAATTAAATCTTATTTATCATCATATGTTTATGTTAAAATTCAATGAATATTTTATTTTCAAGTTTCATAAAGTAGATATAATATTTTTACTACTACATTACAATATACTGTAGAAAATTATATCATACTAATTTACATAACACAGAATAACTTTTTTTTTTACAAATTAAATAATTATTGAACAAACATTAATATTTTTTAACAAACATTAATATTTTTTATTCAATTTTTAAAATACATAGATATGTATTAACAAATGTTATTGTAAGAATTGAGATAGAGTATACTACCATATACCGTATTCCTTCCCCACAGCATGGAAGTCTTTTTTCAAAGTATAAACTTACTTTCTTCTCCCCCTCCCTTATGTTGTTCCCCTTTTTCACATATTTATGGCAATCCCCATTGTTTCAAAGGCAGTGGGAGTAGTTAGCTTGAAGATGCCCGTTCAATGCAGGCAAAAATGTTAGCACTTCCCAACTTTTTGCTGGTTATTTGGTTTTTTGTAGCTTTGTATCTACCATATTTGTTTCCTTGGTTTAGGGGAATTGTTATTTTTCAAAAATAATCATTTCATTTACAAAATTTTCCAAGAGAACAAAACAAAAGATAATTCATTTTGTAATGAAGTTAAGTTTCAAATGATTAAACTGGTTTAATTTNTTTCAAAAATAATCATTTCATTTACAAAATTTTCCAAGAGAACAAAACAAAAGATAATTCATTTTGTAATGAAGTTAAGTTTCAAATGATTAAACTGGTTTAATTTTAGGAATGCTTGGTTTCAGAATTATGATTCATTCTATTATGTTTTAGGATTTTTTCATTATTTCTTTAGTATAGTAACTAGATAATCATATCATATATTATTTTATTAAAATGTTTATTCATTATTAAAGCAACCAAGATGCATAAAAATGCATCAAATACATAACCAAGATTTGATTGTACAGTTGATATTTGAATAGGAAAGTAAAGATTAGCTTACTACTAATAATCATATTGTGCATAAACTGGAGAAAAATGCTTAATTTTTTACAAAAATGCATAAAGTATATGTTGACATATACTTTTAGAAAGATACCTAATATTCACTGTTAGGTTGCAAAAAAAATAGGTCACCATACTTTATTTGGGACTACTTTTTACTTGTTATGTCTACTTCTTGAGGAATTTTCAATTTCTCAACTTTTTACACTGGCAATATGTTTCTACAGTTCTGTTATCTAATGATTGTCAGTTATTCAAGTTTCCAATTTTCCTAGCATGGTTAAAAAGTTGAAAATGGTCATTTTTAGTACTTAGAATCCATGGAATTTGTTGAGTTTCAGTAGAAATCAGTTGACTAAAATTACATCCAAAGTACAAAACAGTTAAGAAAGCCATGTCCTTCACAAGGACAAACTTTAGCAGAAGCTTCAAAAACTCCAGCAACTAAAGAAATTGTGGTTATCACTTACAAATGCTTTTGCTGTCTATGGAATATTCCTTCATGTATTTTGGAATTATACTGTGAGCATGAATATCAAAGTATATTTCAGATGGTGTTTTGCTATCAGGGAAGCTATCTCATGCAAATACCTGAGTAAAATAGGAAGAAAAGAAATTCAAAAAGCTCATAATATTTTAAATGGAAAAGATTTCCACTTTGAGGTGGTCATTAAAAATGAAAAAGTTGTGAACACAATTATTTTTTTTTTCCCCCCCCCAAAAGACACTGTGGCCAGGTTGGCCTTTTACAAGCATCTTAACAGCAAATCAACAATTTTATCACTAAGAACCAATATCACTACAAAGTTTGCCAATAAATTCAAAAATTCAATACTGATGCCATCATAGTTTTAGTTCTGAAATCATGTGAGGTAGTAGAAATAAAATTATCAAATTTTTTTATTTTGTAACTGATAGTATGCTCCATATGGCGACAACACAACAAAAGCTGAAGGCAGTTATAGATGATATATGTATGATGTAGCATCTAACTTTTCAGGAATTATTTAACTTACAAATTTTTAACATCCTTTAAGCTTCAGTACATCAGATTTACTATTTTATATAATCAGAATAGGAAAAATCTGTTATGCAATCAAAAATGCATAATTTAAGTGAAATTAATGCATAAAAAGTCATTCATATGTGTGTTGTAAACAAGATTATTATATTTTAAATTTATTTTAAAAATTTATGTATACAGATTCATTTATATTAAATTATCAATACCTGTATGAGATTGCTAACTTTGAACTGTAAAAAAATTTTATAAAACTAGAATTGCACATGATATTGACCTGTTGATGTCTGAGGATACGCCACAAGAAGATGAAAAAGAAAAATTTACATTGGAAAATAATGCGGTAAGTTATTTTAATATTAAAAGTAGTAAATTATCGAAAAATATCCTTATTCAAAGTAAGATTTACATTTAAATGTAAACTGGATAAACAAAAGTTAATGCTTTCATTTGTAAAAGAGGTCAATTCTTCATTTTTGTGACAAACTATATTTGGAAGATGTGTCCTAGTAAAAAGTTGTGCCAGTTCTAATTTTTGATATTTTCAAATTCTCACTTTTTTAAACATACAAGTTGAATTTACCATAAGGTAAACTTTTATTTTTTAAAACTGGAAACATTTGAAGTAGGAAAATTAGTTTAATTTTAAAATTTTTGTTTTATTTAACATTCATTTAAGGAAGTGCTTTTAAAATATTTCATTGTTGAAGTTTATAATTAATTTTTTTTTAAATGATCTGGAAAGAGTTCAGTTATTATAATTGAATTGTAAATTATTTGACATAATATACAATAAAATTATGCAGTTTATGAAAAACAAATTTAATTCAATAGTGTTTTTTACCTAAGAATTGTATGTGAATTTTATATCACAATAAGTGTTGACATTAAATAAATATAACACAATAACACAGTTGTGGTTTATAAATATATAAAGATTTCTTTCACAAAATAATTGAATTATTTTTATTAATGAATTAATTTGAGGAAAATTAATTATTTTTCTTTATTTTACTTATGTAAAAGGGTTGTGTAGTTAAAATGATAAACAATAAATGAATGAAAGGAATTTATTTAACAATTTTTTCAATGTTTATAATTTTAATTTTCTATTTCAATTTTCCATATTCTGTTAAATGTTTGAGACAAATGAATTAAAGTAGAAAATCTAATAATTAACCTTATCTGATCTAATCTAATTTTTCTTCATATATTCTAATTTTTTTTTACTAGAATCTAATAATACAGAGATTTACACGTGAATTTTATTAAAATCAGAAAATTAAACTACTAGGACAAAGCCATGAAAACTTCCTCATTAAAGTTTAGTTGCACTTGTTTCATTGTTTTAATTTTGGACTGAATAGATAAATGTATTTCACTTACAAATCATACAAACATGATTTATATTTGATTTTCTATAATTCAAAAAAATAGTAAAATTAGCTGTTTTAAAAGAGTTAAGTAACTTGTTACTTCTCTAAATGTTTTCAGAATTCAATATCCTATTTGAAAAGATAATTCAAAAACAGTAACTTACTTGTTAATTAAAAAAAACATGAAGTAATGTTGATTTTTATTTACAAATTTTTCTCAATTTTTTCAGAAAATCTAAACTAATTTTTTAAAATTATTAGAAAATCCCTAAAATTGTAAAAATCTAACCATATAGTCACTATATTTTGAAAAACTATTTTTCAAAATATAGTGACTATATGGTTAGATTTTTACAATTTTAAGGATTTTCTAATGGATTTTTGTGGTTCAAAAATTTATTGAAAACTTTTGAGAAGTGCAAATTTTTCATAAGTTATTGATTTATCATCATGTTTTTATGTCAAAACATATAAATTTTTAAAATGGACTACTACAGACATAACACTTGTAAAAAAGGTTTCGTGGATTATTATATAAATTTTATTTTAAAAAAAGAATAAATTTAGCTGAAACAAAGTTATTTTATTATATTGCTACTAATTTCCAATTTACATCACATTGTGAAAATTGAAAAGTTATCATTTTATGATAACATGTAAAGATACAAAATACATATTCTTGAAAATATTTAATGTGTGATTATTTTACAATATATTTACTAAATTGTTGCTTTTGTCTTTTCAAATATTTAAAGCAATACATCAGTTTTAAGAAAAAATGAATTTATAAAAAATTGAGTCCTTATATATAAAATGTAATCAATTTGTTTAATGAGCTGCAATTTTAATAGAGCAAAAAAAAAAACAGCTTTATCAATTTAGATTTATCAAAAGCAACATTTGCTTTCAAAATTCTTTTTAATAATTTGTACATATTATGATTATTTGAATGAATTATTTAAATCTGAAATTCCTTCTTTTGGCTAAATTCTTAGTTTCTCATATTAAATTGCTATATTTTCCATGCTGTGAACTTTCAAATTTTTACACTTAAATTATTTTAAAAATTACATTAGGATATTGCCTAATTGTGTACAACAATGCTGCTAACAAGACAAAATCACTGTTATGGGTGAAAATAATTTTTTAGTGTGAGATTTTTATTATAATGAGAATTTTATAACTTTTGGACAGTTTTTTTCCTTTATTTTAAGACTAAAATATATACCAAAAGGGGTGAGGGGTATCAAAACTTGGATGGTTATTTTTCATTTTAATGAGTTTGCCACTAGAATTATTAGCAAAATTTTTTTACACACTGAATAATATGTTAAAATTAAAATGGTCTTACAAAGTAATTTAAACTTTTCTTTTATATTTTTTAATGATCTTACTTTAGGATTCTAAACAAAATTCCATGATCAATGGAAATTCACAAAATGGAGAACGTCGCAGGCGAAGATTACCTGTGATCCCTGTTGATAAAAAACGTAAATAGCTATTTCATAATGAATATAATTTATTCGATTTAATTTTACCATATTGATATTTAAGTAAAGATTTAATTAAAATTTTTTTTTAATATTTATTTATTATTTATTTGATATAATCAACATTAGGGTTTCTCATTTCCCAGTCTTTTGCTTGTCCTGGGATTTTGGTAAAAAAGTGAACTGTTTCCTGGGATCCTGGGTAATCCCAGGATAGAATTAATTATTTTAAGATATACAAAATATCTTGAAATCAAATGATATAATTATTTTTTATTTTTTAAAGTACTTTAATATGTTCTGCAACCTGCAAAATCATATTAATAATGCTGTGTAAGATATTGAGATATATCTTTGAATTACGTAGAAATTTTCACAAATAGAAAACATTTATTAAAGTTTGCTGGAAACTGCTTACAACAAAAATGCCTATGAATTGAGTTGAGAATTTAAAGAAAAAAATAAACTTAGATCAAACTTCTAAGTTAGAAGGAAATTTTCGTTTTTTAAATAAAACTAACAAAAAATTTACAATAATATTTTGTATTAAGATTTTAAAAAGCAAAGATGATCAATACATCAATCACTCAATCTGATTCTTATTTTAATAATGAAAAGTCCTGCTACCGAGAATGACCTTTCTGATTCAATTGATGTGAGTGGAATCATGTTTAATGCATTTAACAGAAGATAGATTTTATGTGTTTTTCACTTGTAGCCTGGAAGATTTCTAGTTCATTTTTGAGATTGTAGTACTACTTTTGCTGTCTAGTATTCTTGATTTGTCTACCTCAGCTGCTTTAATAGAAACATGAAGCTTAGAGCTCAATAATTTGGCAGTTCGTTTGGCTTTAATAATCAGGTTTATGAAGAAAAAATTCATACTTGCAGACTTCATAATTGTTTATATCTTGGCCAATTTGCACAACCTGGCATTACCAGTTATTGAAGCTGCTGGGTATGGTTAAAAATTAAGACAGCATAAGAACAATTATTCCAGATATTACAGATTCTGTGACAAGTAAAGAATTTTAAGATTTCTGCCACAAATAGGCTACATATTAATTATTGACCATTTGCCATAATGAGCAAAAATGCCATGCCATAATGAGCAAAAATTTAATAAGTAGGTTTCAAATTAATAAATACAAAAATATATTCTGACAGTTTGAATTAATTATACTTTCTATTTCCAAAATTTCTTCAACCTTAACACAAAATAAGAAAAAAGTGAACTTTTAAGAAATTTTCAGAATTTTCTGGGTTAAAAAAACAACCGGGATCCTGTTTGAGAAACCCTAATCAACATAATATATGGAAAAGTAGAAGTAACTACACAATTTTTAAGATTTTAAAATCAAGGTTTATTTTAGAATTTTTTCTAATTTATTTCAGATCAAAATGTAGGAAATTAAGTTTTATATTTTTAAAATGAATATGTTTATTCAGCTCTCAGTAGATTATGTCAACAACCTAAAACACTTTCTCAAGAAATTCAAGAACAGGAGCAAGAAAATAATCCAGGACTCTTATTGCATCAGATATCTCATAATTTATATTTGCAAGTTGATACTTCAGGAGGACAAACAAAAACATCTCTCAGGTATTAATCAATTTTAAGTAGTTTCTAATAATTTCATTAGTATTATAAATTGAAAATGAAACATAATAGCTTTACTAAAAAGTTATTTGTAAATTTAATTCATTTGAAATTCATTCTGAAATGATTTAATTAAGATTTTTGTACTTAAATACAAATGTTTAAATTTAAATAAAACAGAAACTACAAGTTTTACGTGTTTGATAGGAAAATATGGTAAAACTTTGCTTCATGGCTCCTTACTTATGTGGCCAAGATAGTTTTCTAGAGTGACATTTATTTCCATTTACGTGGCCAACAATGCAGGAAAATCCCACATACGTAAATGCAGCATATTGTTTAAAGCACTTTGAATTGAGCTTTGTTGCTATAGTTGTATAACAAATTTGAGATTTCTGAGATAATGATCAAATAAAATAAATCTTTATTTGCACCAAACAAATTAAATTTAATCTTCAGAATTTAATAAGATGAAAGACAATTATGTATTTCAATAATTTTATACAAAATTTGATTATCTTTTCTAAAATATAACTATGTAAATCAGTGATGTTACTGATAAGTTGCATACTCTTAACCTCCAGCATAGGGTAAGAGTATGCATTGGAATCTTATTTTTTTAAATTTCTTGTCAAAACTATGCTTGTTTTTTCTGTCTAATATAGTCAACTGGAAATATGTATAAATGATGTATATTCAGACAAAAATGTATTCTGATTAAACAATAAACACTTGAGTAATGCAAAAAATAACATAAGGTGCATACTCTTTTGCTCCTCTCCTCTACCCTTGTATTATATTTAAAGTAATCTAAAATGTATTACTTTATACAACTATACTTTTTAGTTTGTGTTTCCAGAACTTGTTTTTAAAATTATGAAATTTTTTAATTGTTCTCAATAAATAGTTAGATTTTAATCATATTTATTTAAGACAGACAAGATTAGCATTAAATGAACTAGATAGCCAGTTAATTAAAACTAAAAATAATAATAAAATAATTAAAATTCTGGGCTTTATACCAAAATCAAAACAAATATTAAAAATAAAATCAAAATTTATTCATTTAAACTAAAATTAAAATCAAATCAATTGAAACAATATTTTGAAAAGTGTGGATAAAGTACTGTCTTGATTGATTTGGTTATTTCATCCTGGCAGTTAGAGTTAAGTCTCTTTATTTATATCACTTATTTATAAAGTGTTAGTTTTGATTTTGGCAGTGACAGAACATTTTGCTTTTAATATATATATATAGAGAGAGATTTTTAAAAAGTTTTCATTTTAGGTATTATCATAAAAATGGCCAATCAGAAGATTCAAGTCCAGATGAATTGCATTTATTAGCTAGTAGACTAAGTTTAGATGTTGACAGTGGAAACTCCAGTGCACACAGTCCAGATGGAGTAAAATCTACTTCTCCAGTTAATGGTAATTTATATATATTATGCTAATTTATTTTATTAAAAACTAGCTAATATACAGTACCTAGTGATGCTCAGGTTAACTTATAAAAACACATTAATGTTTTTGTTGAAAGTATCATTAAGTTTTACATCAGAATCAATGAATGAAATTATTTTATATAATTGGTATTTGGGCAAAGAGACACTGATTAAATAGTAATAACAACACAGTTGATTTTATCCATTTTCACATTATTTAAGTCAAGTATTCTTAATAATAATAATTTTTTTTATTAATTTACTATTTCTAAAATGGAAGCAATTGATACTTTTCTATGAACAGTAATGTTTATAATGCTCTTTGGATCTAATAAACTACTGTACAGATCTTTACAATTTACACATTTTACAAAGCATATATGATTTCTGGCCTTGATCCTTACTTTTAATTAATTCATTCTCAAAAAAAAAGTTTTGCAAAGAACAATAACATTCACTTTTCTTGCTCTCTGCTAGAAGCAGTACCATCAACTTCAATTACTGTCTTTTCACAATAATTTATTCTTACAAACTTCCTTTACTTTATTTACTTCTAATGACAGCATGAATGGTATTTTTATTAATTCATAGTATTAACAAAAAACTTTATGAATTTTTTTTATATTTAACTTTATAGTGTTAACTTCTCAAAGTGATTTTACAGCATTGTAATTTTCTATATTGAATGGTTCATTTAGAAGTACAGTACATGTTCTTCAATGAAAAATGATCACTTTACTGTTTGTGTTTGATAAAAAAAATTTTTTACAGTAGATACCTGTAGAATATCTAATGTATTCTAATATAATAAACTATGCAAACTAGACTTTTATATTGATTTGCATGTTTTATGCATTAGGATGTCTGTCAAAATCATCATCGTCAACAAGCACATTCAGTTTAACACCATCTGGTAGTAAACTGCATCTTCATGATGCAACACACAGAGGACTTTATAAATTTATTCCACGCCACACAGATGAAGTAGAAATAGACATTGGTGATCCTGTATATGTACAGAAAGAAGCAGAAGATTTTTGGTGTGAAGGTTGTATAATTTATTTATTAAAAATTTCTATTTATAACAACAATTATTTAATAATGTGCATATCTACTTAAACAGGTATAAATTTAAGAACATCTAAAAGTGGAATATTTCCCAGTGCATACGTTACAGATATTGATTACAATGATTTTGGATCTGGTAAATTTTTAGTAGTAATTTAATTTTTGATATTTTATTCAATAGTTATAATTTATTTTGTCAAACTCTTTGTATAGAAAATTCTAGATCCAAAAAAGAACGATATCTAGTTGATTTTCTTGGATCCATTGAAGTAACCTCACATAAAGGAAATGATGTATTATGTCATGCTGTACAGAAAGTAAGTTTACCCTTATTTTTACATATAATAATATAGTACCTTTACTTTTAATTCCTTAGATATTTCAAAATACTGAATGCTTGTTTGGATATTAGCAAATAAGAAAATTTTCATAAAACGAATTTTGATGAGTAAGTGAAACCCTTTTCTAAGAGATCAAAAGAAATTAAATAAATATAATTTATTTATAACTCATATTTGTTGCAATCTATATAAATAAAAATATAATGTCCATTTGTTCCTAATTGCTAATCTCTGAAAGTTCTTCACCGATTGCTTTGAAATTTTCACACAACATTCCATTCGAATATGGGCGTGTTTTTATATAATATATATGTCGAAATTCCTTCCCCTGCAAGTTAATAACAAAAATGTTATTTTTTAATGAAATCTCAAAACAGATGGCACCACATACAATTTTAAATGGTACTAGTGTGTCTTAGTTTTTCTTAAACAAATATTTTTCACCTGGAAGATTATGAAATATTTAGCTATAAAAGTTTGAAAATTAATTAATTTGTAATTACAATTCCATATTTTTTTGTTGACTATTGCCATATAGTTCAAGAGACATTTCTGAGAATGAAACTTCGGTTGGAGACATTAAACTTACAGGAGATGCGCTCTCTTAATGACATTTTCTCATGATCCAACTATGTGGTAAGAGTGGGGATACTACTGCATACATTTTATTCAGAAAAATATTACTTATTGTACACTAAGAAGGGATTTTTCAAAATTCCCTCACAAGGGAAGTGCTATACATTTATAATAGATACATTTCGAGCCACTGCAATGCATGGCCTGGTCTGCTAGTTTAAAATATTTAAATTATCAAATAATAGTCTAAAAAACCAAAAACAAATAAAAGATGACTATTGAATAATAAGTCTTAAAAGAATATATAAAATTAAAAGTGTGGTAGGGCAATGAGCAATTATTTATTGTGGTGATGTCACAATACTGGGCTGCAATTTTCAATCATATTTTTAGTTGATTTAATTTAAAATATATGCTCTCCACCTGAAATTAGTACTGTAGTGTCTTGTCTCTGTACATCATACTTTTCCTTTAACAATAGAGTCATGCCAGTCATCTATTAACTGCTTTTAGGGAAAAAGTTTTGAATTGAAATAACAGGACTTTCATGAATTGGGGCCTCTTGCCCCTAAGGTTTTTGGTCTCGACATTATAAGTTGATGTAGCAAAAGTATTTATTGAATGGCAAGTCTCATTATTCATATTTGCAGGATATCAAATAGTATCAGTCTCACATGTAAAATGCAAATGAAACATTTACTATTATATTAAAAGGCAAACTGGATTATACAGCACTTAAAATACTTGTGCTTTCTGGAATGCAATATTCTTAGATAAAGATCGAATCATCCATATTTGATAATTGTTTTCAAATACAAAATGTTTGTAATCAGAGTAATAAACTAGTAATGGTGATAAGGGTATTATTTAGACATTCATCCAAAATAGCAGTGAAGTTATAAATCTTATAATACCTAAATTTTATTTAAAATAAATCTAGACAAAGATTTTTAATAATTATTGTTGGGACTTTTGAAATACATTAAGACCCTGCTTAATGCTGCCTCAATTAACACTGATTCAATATAACATGGTCTGCTCAAAGCCTTAAAAAAAAGCTCAAAATTTACACTGATTTTAAATTATTGTGGCATTTCATTGATTCGTATATAATATGATTATTTACGAACATGAACCAATCAGCAAAAGGTGGCAATTTGTTGTAGCACTGTACTTCCCTTAAATCTGTTTTTGTGCAATTTTGGAAAAAATATAACATCGTGGATGCCATAGGCAATATCATCTTCACTTGGCAAGAATTAACTGACAAATGCATAAACAAAGTGTGGAAGAAGTTATGGCTGAAGGTATCCAAGAATTCTGAACGAGAAGAGTCTATTGCCATATCGTTAGATTGACCAAATTGTCAACCTAATTGATACAGCAGAACTAGGAGATGTAAACAAGCAAGATATTGAGGAGTTACTGCAGGTTTCTGGTGAGAGTCTTACCAACGACAACCTTCAAGAACTGGCAGAACAAGGAATTCATGTAGAACTGGAAAATAGAGATTATGAAAACAAAGAATCCAAAGAATTTCTCTACACATTTCCTTAGTAAAAGTTTGATAATGATAACTGAAATCGTTGGTCAAATTGTAGCGAATAGTCCAGATTTTGAAACAAGTGCAAAAGCAAAACAAATTTCCCTATGTACTCTGTTAAAATAATCTTGTTTAATGCTGTTTCATTTAGTGCTTTGTTGTCTAGGAACACATCCCCATGTTAAGTGGGGTCTTACTGTATTACATTTAAAATTTCCTTAGTGTAATATTTTAAATATTAGTTTTTCTTTTATGAATTGTTTTACAGTATACGCTACATTGATATTTTAAATAATTTAATAAGTTTGAATTTTTATGGTACAAATGAATATAGATATTAATAATAATTGATTATTTCCAACTTAGTCTTTGATAACTTTGATAGATGCAGTTTTTGCACTTTGTTTGCAAATTTTATGTAGATTTGTCTGTTCTTAATTTCAATTTTGTAAATACAGGTTCATATCTAAGGTCATGAATCTCAATAGCATTTGCTGAAGTTGGAATCACATGACATATTTGTCACAAATCACATTTTGGTTAAATGGTGGTCTTAACTGCTTCAAACCAAAATATAACTAATTAAACTTAACAACTATTAGATTTTATTCAATTAATAATGAAACTGTTTGATATTTATACAGTGGTCATAGATAATGTGATGGTGGCACCAGCCTTACACAATCTTCTTTCCCATTTATCTCACCCCCTGAAATATTTCAAGTCTACCTATACTGACCATAATTGGGGTTTCTTTAAATATGAATTGATTGTTCTCCAAGCAATTATACATTTTCACTAAACTTTTTCTGCTTATCAATCAATTTTCAGTAAGATATTTTTAAAATTTAAAATGATTAGTTTGTTTGATGATAAAATGTGCAGATAACATCTATCCTACTAAAACAATGTTCCACTTAGCTCCCCAGAATGAAAATCCTAGTGATGTTACTGACAATGGTGGTTTAACCAACAGCTAATAGGTAAAAATAAAAAGATATTGCTTTTGATGCCAAAAAATATTCAATACACCAGATAGAACATTTTTAATATTTTGAATTAAAAAATAACCCTAATTTAAAGTAAATTTTTCTTATACTTTTTGAGGAAATATTTAATAACTTTTGTAGGTTGCCAAAGCCAGAATGTCAGAAATGGGAATAGTCGTCCCTTATCAGTGCATTTTGGAAATCAGTGATCAAGGACTTCGGATGGTCGATCGAAGCAGATCAGCTGTAAGTTAGTTCTTGTGCAACAAAAGCAATTCTTAATATTTCAGTTGCTTCACTTGAACTTTTATCTTTAGCCTATTCCTGTGCCAATACACGATTACTTTTTTAATCTGAAGAATGTTACATTCTGTGGATATCATCCTTTTGATCATAGGTTATTCCATGTTTTAACATTTTGTATTTTATTACCATATATTTTAATGAGCCTTAAATCTTATTTTTTTTTCCTATAGGTATTTCGGTTTTATTACTAAACATCCTTTACACCAGAGATTTGCATGCCATGTATTTAAAGGAGGAGGTTCTACAAGAGACATTGCTGAAGCAGTTGGGTGAGTAAAAATTAATTAAAACATTCAATTTAATAACACATTATTACAAATATTGTATATCTTAAATTCAGGAGAGCATTTCAGAGATTCTACCAGAAATTTATTGAAACAATATATCCAACTGAAGATATTTACATAGAATAAATCTCATAATTTTGCATTTTGTGTTGTTAGTGTTACGTTGTTGAGATATATCTATTCTTCTGTATAACAAACCTAAAATTTGAAAGGGAAATCATGAAGATTGTCAAGAATATCTCACCATGGAATTCAAATAGTCTTATCTTGGTGCTTCCCTTCTCTAAAACAATGTCAAATTTTTACTTTTGAAATATTCTGAAAATTTTATTATTCATAAAACTCTCAAACCTTTTTCTTTTGGCAGAATGTGAATTTCAAATTATTTAGCATAGAAAAGGATATAAAATAGTAGATAATAAGTTTATGAAGTGTATATAAGTAGAGAATTATTATATAATATAATATAATAATTGCACTTTACTCTGTGATTTAATTTACTCAAAATGAAATGCTTCAAATCAATCATCAGTATTATATATAAATGCTGTGACACTAGTTGTTTAGAAATGTTTAATTGGTTTTTGGTTTTACTTGTAAATAATTTAAGCAATACTTATTGTCTGTTTGTAAAAATAAATTTTTTATTGTTTATTCTGAATTTCAGATGAAAAATAAACTTTAAATCTTTCAGTCGGAATATTTTGTCCTCATTTTTTTTTTCTATGTTTGCTTGAAATTTTAGATTTAGAACAAAAATATTCTGTAATTGCCAATAGAATCAAACACAGACATGATTCAATACAGTTTTATTTTTTTTTATGGGCAGTCTTTTGGATCAATGCAACTACCCTGATGAAGAACTTTGTCAGCAGAACATTGGCAACCCACCACACATGGTTTGAAGCATTGAGTTGCTAGAACCTTTAGGGGCATGTCTTTATTTTCACACGTTCTTGCACAGGCAGGCCCACATTCATCAAACATCAGACCTCGGTCTTCAGGACAAGTAATAGCTAAGAATACAAAATATTTTTGAATAATTAGATTTTCACTTATCAAAATATTTCATACTTACCACAAAGAGTTGCCGATCTCCAATTGAGAACCACTCCAGTTCGAGAACATTCTTGAGAATAAGTAGAAAGAATGTCACAAAGGCAATCATCATTTTCGGAACAGGCACACAAATCATAAACACAGGATGCATGATATAACTCTGGTGGTATTAATTTATGACAAGGAGCAAATAAAGGCCCCTAAATTAGTAATAAATTTTGTTTAAATTCCTATATTAATAATAATTTTTTTTCTGAGGACATTATTATTATATATATTTGACTTAAGAGAATCATATTTTTAAAAAATAAACAAATGTTATGCATTATATAGATTATCTGATTAATACTTGTTCAATTTTTTAATAAGATGTTAAATCTATCACCAAGGAATCCTGTCAATAATTGACCTGAAAATCTCAACCCCATCCTTGCAGTCTTAAAAATTAAATAATGTTATCATAAACAAGTGACATTACTTAATTTTTAAGATTTAGAACATCCTATATTGTGTGTGTAATATATATATATATAATGCCACTTATTGAGCAAACATTCCAATTTCAAATGTTATCAAATTGAAGCTAGATTGAAAACCTGACACAGGTTTGTGAAACATGCCAAAAATGTGTGTGTTGAGGTTTGTTAATCAATGTCTGGCTTGTGATAATAATAATATTATTATTATTATTATAATTAAGGAGGACTTGAAATTGGATTAAGGATTAAAGAGCATCAATATAGTGTGTAAAAGGACTTTGCAATACAGTACTATCCCAGACGTCACAAACTGAAGGCTCTGTGGTAAAATGGGATGGAGGTAGATATAATTAAGACTTTACACTCCCCAAAATTGAATTACAGTAGAGCGTTGTTTATCTGAATCAATTGGGGACTGAGGTTGTTCGGATAACTGATTATGTATGAAAAAATATATTAACTCCTTAATGACCACCTGTTATTAATTATGATGTAATTAAGCATAAAAAATACTTAAAACTGAAAAGAAAAAACTAAAGAAATGCGTTAATTTTGAAGAAAAAGCTCCAAATTTTATTTTCCTTTGCATCACCTTTCTGTGAAATTTAACACCGATGAGTCATTGTTTACACAGCTGGATGACCTTGTGAACAGCTGGAGTTGGATTTCCCGGGGCATTCTCAGACCTTTCGAGAGGACAAGGGTTTAAAGTAGAGTGAATACTAGCTGGCCGTATATTTTAAAAAATTAAGATTTTAGTTGAGATTTCTGACCCCCCCTAATTAATTAAATTTATATATAATAAAATCGATTAATTAAAAAAATTAAAAAACTATCAGAGATCGTTTTTGACATCAGAAACTAGCTTTAAATAACTTTACCGAAGGAAAATCCGTGCACTACAACTTAGGAACCATGAAATAAATTTGATAAAAAACTCCCATTAAAAAACAATTAAGCCTTAATCCTATCCCATGTTGAAATTTTTCTCTGTTGCATGTCGCTTCGTCTATGTTAAGCCTAACATAAACTTTTTAAAATAATAATTGTGGCTATTGTATCATTAAAAATTATTTCTTTATTTTTTACAAACAAAATAAATATGTTGAAAAATATAAAAACCAAAAAATATATACAGTGGTGCCTCGTATAGTGTACTTAATCCGTTCCAGGTGCACGTCCATTATGCGAAATGTATTTTTCCATAGAAATACATGCTAAAACATAATTTGTTCCACAGCATAAAATAACCATACTGTACCATAAAAAAATGAAAATGGAGCAGTCACCAATTATGCCGGGTAGTCAGATGTTGTGAGGAGGAGGTGGAAGAACACTTTCTTCATACATTCATAGATACAGACTTTTTACACATTGCAGCAGGTCTTTTTTTATTGTTTTTTAATCGGAGCCAGATTCAGGGGAGGCTACTGGAGCTTGCAGGGTCAACTCCTCTTGTTCCATTCTTTGTTTTTTGCCTGCTGGCTTCTTGAAAAACATGTCCAAGATGTTCTGTTTCTCTCTCTTCTTCAACACCTGTCGAAAATGACGGGCAAGGGTGTCATTGTAGAGATCATTCATCCTGTTGGCCTCAGCTCTGTTTGGATAATGAGTGTTGGTAAACTCCTGAACCTCTTTCCCATTTGACAAGAAAGTTTTTGTCAACTTTCACTCCTTCTGATGATTTCTTGCTTTGTTTCAATTGAAATCGCCTTTCTGTTTTTTTTTTAGAAGCCATGATTTGCACAACACTTAAATAAATGTAAATACCCTGCACTGAGGAGATGTACGTAATAAACAAGGGAGCAAGCCGAATCCCAACGGGAGCTCTGCTATTTTTATAATATATTAGTACAGTATTATTAGAATATATTATTAGTATATCTGAAATACAGATTGTCATTGGCAACGGCAAAAGTGTGGAAACATCATTCGCACTTGTTTGCAGAAAGTCCGTTGTTTGCAGCCAGTCCGTTATACGAGGCACCACTGTACTTTAGAAGTTGATCTAGTATCAAAATGTTCGATTCAGCATGACACACACTCCTCAGAAAAACACACAAAAGTGCCAGTGCTGCCAGCTAAAACACACATACACCAAAAAAAAAAATATTGGAGTAGCTCAAGATATAGCCAAAGATTGCAGCGCCACAGCACTAGTAAAAATTTAAATTTGCCGAATGGAATGCTTTCGGTTAAGACATTTCGGATAAACGACGCTCTACTGTATCTTCCAAACTGTTCTCTTTTTGCAATGAATTTCCATGCTGCTGATATATGTTTTAATCTAAGAGATGAGAAGCTTCTTTATAGACTTTTCTCTTTGACATCTATGCTCGCCTAGTTACCACATTTACAATTCTAGTTTATTTTAGTCTAATAATTCCAACATAAAAGTATTTGAATTTAAATGTAACAATCTATTTTGGAACAGTTTCTAACTGATGATCCAAAAATCAGTTGCCTATGCATTAGGCTAAAATATTAATACATAAGAAAATAAATTTCTCAGCAGCCAAAGATGTTTAGTGATTTTGTAATTAATCCTTATCTTTCTAAAATAAAATTAAAAGATAAATATGACCATTAACAAAAAATATTAAGGAGGATTATCATTGAGTTAAGCTTAGAATTAGTGTATGGTAAATTAATTCTTGAATTACAGGTTAATGCATGCACTAGTTGAATTTTTTTTATAAAACAACTTGGACATATTTAGTTTTATACTCTTGCAATAAGTTTAAAACGGGAGTTTGAGCAAAAATTTTGAAAATAATCTCAATCTTTAATTGTTTGCTTTTTAATAGGCAATTATTATTTTGTTAAGATTTTGTGGTGTTATATTCTACCTCTGTCCTGTTAGCATAAAAACAAAAAATAAATTAAGTGAAAATTTAACTGATAGTTTTTGTATGTGTTTTCTTATTCGATAGGCCCTACTAGCTTTTTTTCTGTGTTATCTATAATGTTTGTGACAGAAGCAACAAATGCAATTTTGAAAAACTGACTTGGTCAGCTGGGATTCTTTGAATTTTTAGTTGGACAAGGAAATAAAAAGAGGATGAGAAGCCTCATTAGTCAGGAGTATAATTTGTATGAATTCATAAGTACAGAACAGATCCATAAAGGATGAAATGGTTGTTTCCAGGTATAATAGTATCTCTCTTTTTTACTGTAATGTCTAGTACATCATACTGTATTCTAAAATGACTAACAAGAAAATACTGGAGTGAAAGTATTCAGAGTTCAGCTTCTAGCTTCTGTTGCTGATTACTTTGTGATCTTCACACTTTTTCATTGGAAAGATGTAGAAATATTTTGAACAACAAAGACTTCTTTTCACTCTAATATTTTTCAAAATAAATACAAAATTTCAGTTTCTTTTGCACATCTCAAATCTTCTGTGACATTGGCTATGTTATTGTTTTTCTGTTTCATATCTGAAGCAATTGCCAACTGCAACTTGGCATCTGTGCAGTTGTCTCTAATTCTTACTCTGTCATGTCAACATTTCATTCATAAAATAATTCAAGAAAAAGTCTTTGCAGAAAGCTCATCTTTACCTAACCTATGTAGTTTAGAGAGAGAGAGACAGATCAATTATGTTTTTGTTCAGATTATACAGAACAAGTTACATAATTAGAGAAAGTTTATACAAAATCAAAACTGTAGATATGCAAGAAATTAGTTATTTCCATCAGTTGAAATCTTGTGTATTCAGAAGTACTATTACTTCTATTATGCAGTCCTTAAGAATTTCACATCTTCATATCCAAGAGTGTTATTTTTCATAAACAGAACATTACTGCAAGTGGACAATAATGAGGATGTTGTTTATATATTATTATTCAATCTAGCTTAAATATCTGCTTCATCTTTAATGTAATGTAATTTTCACTGTTAGAAGTTTTATTGAAATTAATATATGTCAAAATTACAAGTTCTCTGACTTGTCATGTGATTACTAATGTAGCTTGAAACTTCAGTTCAAAGATGTTGAAATTTTTGATTTCATTAGTTTCTTTAGCATCATTTCAAAAGGTACTCATTGTTTAAATCATTAAAGTGTAAGTATTATGAATATTATGGTAGAATTGTTGTTGATAAAATTTCATTACAGAGGAACCTGGTTAACTAAGTCATTTTCTTTCCCAATCATACAACAAATTTGATCAAAGTTCGATTTATCAAAATTGAGATTTACATACAACAAATTTTAATCTTTGTGGCAAAATTTTATTATGACAATTTTATTTGTATTAATAAATAGATAAATTGCAATATTTCACCCTAAAATTGAAAAAAAAAAATTTGTACTAAACACTTTAAGAGTGACAGATCAACCATTTGGTTAAGCATTTTTGAGTTTCTGGACGACACAATGACACATGAAATATTGTACAGATGGTTTATTGGTGATCCATAATTAACTAATGCATAAAATCTTGATTTTTAACTGAATCTCCATAACTCAACCAGGCTCCAAATACGAAATTTGTCGGATAGCAGTAAAGAAAGAAGGAATGATTAGTTCTTTGTTCATTTTTAGCCTAAATTCAGTTAGGCATGCTCAATCCCATCAGAGACACTTTAATACTTCTGTATATCAAAAATGAAGTCATGGACCCTCATTGCAATTAATGGAAAATGGCGAAGTTGTATCAAAATTGGCCCATTAAATTTTGAGAACAACAATTCTGTAAGCCATATAGAAGAGGTTTCACTAAATGCTTTTACATTACCTTTGCCTCAAAAATGTGTGTTATCAAATATATACAATGAAAACTTTAATCATGAATGCCAAAATTCTGTACTAATGACTTATGACATCCATGGGAAGTTACACATTAGCTGACTTTCCAAGAAACAGCCTAAAACATCCATGCCTAAACAACAGCCTAAAAAACCCAATTTACAAATGAAACATTAGAAATTTGTTGATATAAATGTGATTTTATTCACATGTAGCATTTAAATAACACATTTGAATAAATATATCCTATTAGATCTAAAAATTACTATTTCATAAAATTTCTACATGCTATTTTTGAAAATACAGTTCAAGAAGGAGTCCCAAGTTTCATAAGCTGAAATGTATGTATACTGTAGAGGGCTGTTTTCTGGTTTTAATTCTCTAACAACTATATATCAATACCTGTGTCATGTTTTAAGTACTACACTATCTGTCCAAAAGTATCCGGACACCCTCCTAAAGAAGTGGATCTGGTAGGTGATGGTCTCTGATGTGTAACCGAAAGGTATAAAAGTGTTGGTAGTGGTTTGTCAGGTCATATTTATGCGTTTGTGAGACAATGAGTAAGTCAAAGGAGCTTAGTAACTTTGATCATGGCATTATAGTGGGATGCCACCTTTGTGGGAAATCATTTCGTGAAATTTCAGACATTCTACAGAAACCAAAATCCACTGTGGGTGATGTAATTGTGAAGTGAAAAAGTCAAGGCAGTGAAAGTGGAAAAAAATGACGTGACAGGCCGAACAAAATTAGTGAATGCAGCTGTAGAACTCTGAAAAGAGTAGTGAAACAAAATCACACACCCTCGTTGGTTGAAATCATTCAGGAGTTCCAAAGATCATCAGGCATTAGTGTTAGCACCAGGACTGTTCATCAAGAGTTAAAAAACCTGGGATTCCATGGTTGTGCCGCCACTCACAAGCCGAACATCACTCTCCGGTATGTGAAGTGTCGATTGCAATGGTGTAAAGCTCACCGTCATTGGACTGTGGACATGTGGAAAAGTGTTCTTTGGAGTGATGAATCTCGCTTTACAATCTGGCAGTCCAACGGAGGCATCTGGGTTTGGTGGATTCCCAGCGAACGCTTCTTAAATGACTGCATTGTGTTGACTGTAAAGTTTGGTGGTGGCAGCATCGTGTTGTGGGGGTGTTTTTCATGGTTTGGCCTAAATCCCTTAGTTCCTGTGGTTGGAAACATGAACTCTAAGATGTATGTGGACATTCTGGACAATGCTGCTCTCCCAACTCTATGGCAATATTTTGGGGAAGGCCCATTTCTCTTCCAGCAGGATAACTGCTCTATTCACACATCAAGGCATTAGTGCAGGCATGGTTTGACGAAATGGGTGTCCAAAAACAGGACTGGCCTTCTCAGATCCCCGATCTAAATCCCATAGAACACCTTTGGTACGAATTAGGACGCAGATTACGTAGCCAGCCACATCGACCATCCTCACTGCCAGCACTCACTTCAGCTGTGATGGACGCCTGAAAGTCAATTCCGATGGCCACCTATCAAAAATTAGAGGAAAGTCTCCCCAGACGTGTGCAGGCTGTCATTGATGCGAAAGGAAGACCAACATCATATTAATATATGCCTCAGGACTCTCCGAGTCCATACCACTGGGTGTCCGGATACTTTTGGCCAGATAGTGTATCATAGCTTAACATTTCTTTAAAAACACTCAGATAAAGAACACTCCTAACATACAACTGGAATATAGATTAGAATGCTATTATTTTAATTTTGACTGTTATTAATTCAGTGGTACAGTACAAGCCAATCAACACACATTTTTGAAAAATGAAATTGAGTTTCTGGTACAAAATTAATGGTTATTCAAGTCATAGAATTGTTTGCATTATGCATAAAAAATGGTAGATCTCCAGAGAAAAATTCAATCGTGTGATGCATTTCTAATTCAAGTGGGATAATTTTCTCATTTTTTCTTCAACTATAATTCCAAGTTTTATGAATCATACAGACCCAAATAAAGTAATTTAACCCACTTTCATACTTTTTTAATGCCTTAGACCAGTGGTTCCCAATTAGTTTTTCCTGCATACCAATTCAAGAAAGAGCTCAAACTCACGTACCCCTTATAGCAGAAATTCATATTAATCCATACTAATATAAATTCAAAGGTAATTCTGTCTCCCTGTCTGTCTGCCTTACCTTTTCACGTCTGAACCTCTGAACAGGTTTTAATAAAATTTGGCACAGAGATAGCTTACATCTTGGAGATGGACATAGGCTACATTTACTGCGAGAAAACTCGATATAATGTGGGCAGACAGTAAGTAATAAATAGAATAAGCTTTTTTTTTCACATTTATTACCTTTAAAATACAATTCTAATAATAATGAAAATAACATAAGGTTATTTAATTTCAATGCAACAAATGTGCATGATTTTCTTTGCACAACTCTGTAAAATCTGGTTGCTTTTTGGTCAGCTTCAGTCTTGAGTCATCTTCAAGTTGAAATCTGCTCTCGCAGAGGTATGTTGTGCAAAATGGTAGTAAATTATTATCATGTCAGCGAAGCAGCAATAAAATATGATGATTGTACAATTTTTGTTTCTTGTGTAAGAATTTCATTTAGGTATTGTCACAAATGCATTTTTTTGATGAAATTTTGAGAATATTTTTAGTTATAAACGAATTTGTGCATTCGATATCATCATGTTGTAAATTGCCGAATTTTTGATGGTTCACCCATTATATTTTTGATTGCTTCATATCATGCATTTAAATTTTAAATCAACCGACTTTAGATTGCCGCGCATACCCCTAGGGGTACATGTACCACTAATTGGGAACCATTGTCTTAGACAAATCTTCAAAGCAAAATTATTGATATTATGCTTATGATAGGGCAAAACATGAATATAAACATTCACTTATTGTATCTTTCCTTCATACAAAGACCAAGTAATTTGCCACTACTACTTTCATATCATAAACCAGTTTTTCTGCAGGGGGTGTGCAAAGAAGCTGAATTTCAATAATACTGGTCAAATTTATTAAAGATTCTAATTACTATGAAGTAAACTTTCTAACTTGCATTATTTATGAGATTATTGGTTCTCTTCAGTACTATGGATGAGTTAAGGTTAAAGATGTTTGCCATTATAAAGATTGTATCTGATTATTTGAGATATGGTCATCTTAGCATCTATCATCAGAGTGGTTTGATGGCAAGAAAATGGGTAGGGTTTCTTGCATATTAGTTTATATATATGTATTTTGATTTGTAAACTAACTAATCTAAGCCCATTTTTAAAATTAATGTCAAACAATCTGTTAAGTTAGACTATATTTTAATTGGGCTGCAATTTGAAAACAATGTAGACCTATAAATTCCCACTGTCGTTCATCTTTCCTTAATCTTGAGAATGGAGTTAGATAGATGAAAGTTGATATGGAAATCTTATAGGCAGGAGGCCTCAATTAACAATATATATAAGAAATTCCAATGCAAACCAGAAGTCACATTACTTCAATTCAAAAATTTTCCCCTGTAAGGTGTTAATGACTGGCATGACTACTGTTAAAGGAAAAGTATGATGTACAGGGGCAAGCCACTACTAATTCAAGGTGGAGAGCACATATTTTAAATTAAATACATTAAAAATATTATTGACATTGTCACAATGCAGGTTGCAATTTTTACAGTAAATAATTGCTTGTTTCATAATATGAGAGATAATCCAGCAAATTGTTTGGCATTAATTAAATATAAATTCCTCAACTACAATGCTGATGTAAAGTTTTTTATTATTAATTAATAAGCCAGCTTACTTTGAGTATTGCACATCTAGTATTTGCAATTTTGCGGGCACGATATCCTCCTACATTACATGGATCAAAATCTTCTACATCCACACATGAAGTTTGGTCTGTTGACTAGAATATTCAAAGATAAATTTAGAATGATGAATGTAATACTAGTATTTAACAAAAAATTACCTTCCAACTATTTCCAAATACAGCTGCCGATGATGATATCTGTCCGGATCTCAGTCTCATGTCGTCTTCGGAGAAACTGTTAAAGTTGCCGCACAGGCCGCAAGTATGCATTTGATATGCACCCGAGACGCTGACTTCAGCATAACTGTCACCATTCCACAGAATCTATTAGTAAGACATTAAATTGTTACAAATATATTTTAAAATTTTGCAATAATTGTATTACCTTGAGTCCAACATCAGTATTAACTAAAACTGAATTTCCTGTCTTTTCTATATATAATTGGGGATTTTCAAAATATGGAAGAGAGACATTTTTGTCATTGACCTTTTAAAGAAAAATTACATTGAACTTCAAATTAACATAAAAGAAAAATCATTTATTTGAAAATTCAAGTAAATGATTGAACTACAAATTAACATTAAAAAAAAAAGCATACATACAGATACAACCAATCCTTTTGCTAAATTAACTATTGCTTCTGCTAATGTAATGGTAAGACCCTCAGTCCATGACACTCCTTCAATTCCTCTGTCACTGTTCTGTGCTTCCACTGTAAAATTTCCAGTCAAACAATCTTTTACCAATACGTAACGACATGTTCCTTGAAAGTGAATGACGGCACCATCAAAAGTACGATAGTGGGGATCTCCAAACGCCACACAGGTTGCAGGTTCTGGACAAGAAAGGAATTTCAAAATATTAATTTATGTGCACATGCAAACCTGTATCAATTGAAAAAATATATTACTAGGAATACAGTGCGGACAGCATTGTCCAGGATCAACAGAGGGAGTTTGATCGGAAGGACAGTTTAATGGTAGACATCTCTCCGTGCGACAAGTAACTTTTCCCATCTTACATTCACAAGTTGTACATACATCTGGCTGCCATTTTTCTTCATTCTGAATTAAAAATTAATTATTAAATCTAATTTTATCTCAAAGAATAACAATAAAAACAAATAGCACATACTAAAAATACAGAATTTCCATAATTGCAAGATAAACTTTTTGCCGGCAGACAAACTTCGCAGCATTGTCCAGACAATCTCTGCAATACTTCATCCTGGTTGCAGAACACAACCGGACAATTTATTTTCCTACATTTTTCTTCCCCATTCTGAGGAAAATGTCAAGTTAAATATAGCTATTTCACAAGCAATAAAAATTTTTATGAAAATATTACCTCACATTTACACTGCAAACAAGGTTCTAATACCGGAACCCAGATTTCTCCAGAAAGATGCAACTGGCCATCGGTTTCAGAAAGACAAACTAAAATCAAAAAAGTTATTGTTTCATTGAGTTTCATTGCTAACTTTTATACAACTTAAATACCTTCACAATGAGGACAACATTCTTCATCTTTGTGAATAATATATTCTTCAGGACAATTTAATTTTGGACACGTTTCCTTTATACAAATCCAATTAAAATCTTCCTGTAAAAAAAATAACATTTTAGATATTAATGCAGTACATTGTCAAAACTGAAAATAACACTTACGCTACATTCGCAAATAAAACAGGGATCATTCGACGGATGTATTATGGTGCCAAAATACTCCCGCGTACAGTTTGTGCTGAGGCCGGCACAGGTGGGGCAACAGTTTCCCGGCGAAGGATCCACAATTGCTTCTTTGGGACAGTCAACGAGAACAGGACACTGACGAGTTATACAGCGGAGCTGACCGTCTTCACAGGTGCAAGTGTCACAAGGATCTCCATTTGGAGTAAAAACATCACCATTTTGATAGAATCTTCCATTTAATTCGCACTCTAATAGATTAAGATGTTATTTATTAAAATTTTAATTCATTATTAAATAAACAGAAAATTAATACTAGAGTTATTTTCCATGTGTTTTATTATTAACTTCTTCAATTTAAAATTTTTTTTTTTTTTTTTTTCAAATTCTGCATCTATAATCACATAATAAAAGATTCATCATTATATTGAGATTACTTGAAGCCTTTTATAAAATAAATTTCTTATAAAAACTTCATTATGAATCATTGAAAAATCATACAAACAATTTAACTTTCTATGTTGTTTTCGAAACCATGTTTTGCGAATATATTGGACTTCGAACTCACATTTGGCTTTATTTCCATCATTTTAGTTGATACGTGACAACAGCACGTTTCGGGCATAAAGCCCCTCATCAGTCAACATATTCATTTTTAATCTGTTATACATACAAGGTCTTAATTGGCACACACAACTTATTTTACAATAAGTGAATTCATTAAAAATTTTTTATAAAATAAGTTGTGCGTGCCAATTAAGACCTTGTATGTATAACAGATATTCATTTTTAATCTGTTATACATACAAGGTCTTAATTGGCGCACACAACTTATTTTACAATNTGATCAAAATAAAAAAATAAATTTTTGATGACTTTAAAAACTGTACATAACAAATTTAACAATAATAAGATTGAATTATAAGTGTAGAAAAAAAATTGATCTCATATAAGATACGAACCGAATATTAACTCTTCACACAACAGCTTAACTAATCACTTAGTCCTGTGGCTTTGGTAGAGTTTAAGTATGAGTAAATACTACACATCACAAAATTTTGTGGAAATTGGTGATGATAACCTCCCGGGTTTACCTTGTTAACATGGATACAAAGTCTAAGTTAAAGTATGATTGCATACAAGTCTTCTCAAGTAACTTTTATATTTTATTATAATTTGAAGATAAAGTTCATTTTTCTTCTCTTTGGCTGTTCAGATTGAAGTCATTAGTTGAATTCAGTTTGAACAGCTAAAGCACTTTTTAATCTTTTTCTAATAGTGACACTCCAACTTAGTGATTTTTTTTTCTGCAGCAACTCTGCTTTATCAATATAGAGTTATTTTGCTTTTTGTATTTTTAGTAATATACATAAGAAGTGTTCTGGCACTGCTCAACAATATATTTTGTGACACCCCAGTTGAAAACCATGAAGTTACTGAGTGAAAGAGAATATGATTGATTATTTATCTAATGCTTTGTTACTCCTATACTTTCTAAATCATTCTTTGCATCACCTAATCAACATAGTTTAGTTTAACTAAAATATTTTGTCTTGACAGTTATCAAAATTTTGCATACTATTAAATTTGAATTTGTAAAACTATTTTATATTATAATTTAAATTGTAGATATGACCACACTATCCAAATGAAAAAACAGTAAGAACAAACATTAAAATGAAAACCATATTAAAAGTCTGGTTATTTTAACCTGCCATTATTATGTTTATCACAAGGTGTCAAGGGAATGAAATCAGAAATGGAGTTGGTATCTAGGTATTATAGAAGCCTATATTTTCCTTGGATCCTAGAGAGTTAATATGAAAAATTTGCTGCAGATTGGTTAGAGCAGTGTTTTCCAAACTTTTCAGATTTTCTGCTTTCAGTACATATATTTCTTATATTATTTTGTTTGTTTCAAAATGAATTATTTTCCTCATTGTCTTTTAAGACTCCTACTGCCCCTTGCCTTCTAGTGCTCCCCAGGAGCCAACCTAGAAATTATGCCACCCTGGGCAAGATAGTTATTTGTCACCCCTTTTAAATACAGGCATAATGTAAAACAGGGATCACCAAACTTTTTTCACAGTGGGCCAGATAACTGAGAGAATGACTAGTGTGGGCCATATAACCATTTTGTTCAATACAGTACACTGAATACACAAAAAATAAAGACAACCAACATATTTATTTACTAATACACAAACACGATTGCAGCAGCAAGCTCATAATTGCTTTCCTTAGAAACTTCATTGCAGATACTTATACAAAAAGCTCAGATATTCAAAGTCGTGAAAAGTCACCTAATTTTTTCTTTCATTGATTTATCTAAAAATTATATTATTGTCAGTGCAAAAATCAGATTGGACCAATTTTGGCATTTTACTTACTATGTAAAAAAATTTAAATACATAAGTTTATCTACAATCTATGATATTTCCATAAGAATAATTATATTTTAGCTCATTTGTGGCACAGTGAGGCAATGGGCCGGATGGACTGACCTCGCAGGCCGTAGTTTGGTGACCCCTAGTGTAAAACACAAAACACCTCAAACATTCAATTACTTAATTACTTTCAAAAGTAAAATAATTGATTATCTGAAATTAAGAGTGTTTTATTTATTTTTATTTTCTTTGGCTAATTTTTATGTCCCTAGCAATCTGCCTCCCTGGGCAGTTGCCCATCTTGCCCAGCCATAAATCGGCCCCTCAAATTTTCTATGACCCTCAAAAGGGCAGTAGCACTGACTTTGGGAATCACTGGTTTAGTGGGTTTAGGAGTATAGAAGATAGACAGCTAGCAGACATTCTATTTCACACATAATGATATAAGTTATATGATGACTAAACATTTAAAATATCATATACTGTAATTATATGTATATAATAATTACGTGTATTAAATTAAGGCTCCCTCAGTGGCCAGGATCACACAAACAGAAAAATTAAATTTTGTTTTCTTGTGTGAAAGAAAAAAATTATAATAATTATATATTGTAAAAACCAACAAAAAAAGAAAGAGGAAAATAGAAAATTTCATGTCCATAAAAGGACATTTGTAGAAAATTCTGAGAAAGATGTACTTCTCAAATTAAGACAAAAGAATAATGTGAGTCCTAAGATCAAACAACTTTGACAGGGATCAAATTGTTGGTTGGTGTTGACTCTTCCTGCGATCTTGGTTCTGATCTTGTTACGTTTTGTAATGAGTGAAGACCAATTGAAAAGTGGAGGTGAGTCAGAAACGACCTATCAGAATGTTTGGTCCGAAAAAAACTTTAAAACAGGCATTTTCAAGGATGCGGAGAGCTTTTCCCTGTCTTCCTATTGTGAGGCACCATACGCTGAAAAAGAAATTGTCTCTGCATCTCGGTATCGAACTGGATTGCACCCCGACCTCGTAATGGACTTTCTCCTTCCAATGCTTTGGGACCAGTGACTTTTCGAAAGGGATTCGAAAGAATAGTTCCAGTGAGATTCACCCTTTGAAGGGCAAAACAAATTAGAAGACCTGACTTTGCCTACTGTTGACTGTTGTAGCTGTAAGCAAGAGCATCGCCAGCTAATGGGGGGTCAAGATGATATAAATTGATAGAGGATATGAATTGTATGTAGGNTAAAAATGAAGAAAATTTTTTCAGTTATCATATCTAGCACCAGTTCTACCTTTTTCTCATTTCTTTTGTGACATTTATAATTAGAAAGTTTATCAGTTCCTGATTTTCTATTTTAAAATAGATTTATCAAGTGAAAAGTTTTGTTCACTTAGTCTAATTTATATCAGTGATATAAATTAAACTTTAAGAAAAATTTGAATGCTCATACACACCTCCAATCAAATAAAAAACAAAAATTGTTTCTGTAAAGAAAATCTTGGTTCATCTCAATGGCATCAAAATTTTCAGTGATAAATCTCTTTTCTATTCATTTTTTGTCAGATAAACATTTAATATATTAAATTAATGCAATAAAAATGTTCTTTTAACACTCAATTAAGAATTTAAATTACAATAAATAATACCTGGACAAACAGGACAGCACTCATTTTCGACAGGTTTTGGATTGTTACAGGGCAGGAGACAGTGTAACTCGCTGCATGTAACAGTTCCACCTTGGCATTGACAAAGTAGACATGGATTATTCATCGATACCCAATTCTCTCCGTCAGCATATTCCTTTCCTTCATATATGCAACCTAAAAAGTTTTTCTTAATTCTAGTTAATTTTTTAAAAAAATCTATATTTTAAAAAAAACTTAATACAGTTCTTCATACCTCTGCATACTTCACAACATTGGTCTAAAAGCTTAGTAGTAAGAAGGCAATTCAGTGCTGGACATTCTTCTGTCACACAATGAACATTTCCATCCTAAGAAAATTAAATATGTTAAATATATTATCTAAATATTAGTAAAAAGTAATTTTTTAAAAAATTACTTACGGTACAAATACAGTCATCACAGACATTTGGTTGGAAATGTTCTCCGTTACTTAAAACATCGCCGTCAAATAAGCATTTATCACATTTTGGGCAGCATTCAAATGATAATGGATGAGTGCAGTTTTGCGTACACACTTTTTTCTGGCACATAACATCATTTTCCTGTTTTATAATTAATGAATTACATGAAAATTTTAAAATTTTTGTTGGATATTTTATAAATTTCCATGCTTTTTAAAGTCAAACTTACAATACATAGACATTCTTCACAAGTATTTTCAGGATTGATAAATGTCTCTCCGTGATTATATTCCTTCCCCAAAAAGACACAACCTGACAGAAAAATCAAAAATGAATGAAGCAATTTTAAAATTTTTGCTATTTGTTATTGTTCTTACCACTGCAAATAGGGCAGCATTCTTGAATTACTGTGTTTTTGCAATTAACAGGTTCACACTGCCTATGGTGGCAGGTTACGTGCCCGTTATTACAAAAACAGTTCCGACAATCATCTAGAGGATCTACAAATGACTTTTGATTTGGAAAACTATTGTTAGCAAAAGAGCATCCTATAAAAAATGTTCATTAAACTTTTATAGTATGGTAATTAGTTTAAAAATTATATGACACAATACCATTACAGCTTTCGCAACATAATTCTAATATAGGATTCGGGCAATTAATGGCTGGACAGGGTATATGATAACAAATAACTTCTCCATCTTCCATGCAGATACATTCCTGGCAAGCATTGCGAGGATCTAGAAATGTTTCATGAAATTTATAAGTTTTTTCGCCCAAGTAGCATTCTGAAACAGAAGGACAAATTGGACAGCATTTATCGGGATACGAAACTGGAATTTCACAAGTTAAAGGATCGCATTTTATGCTGTGGCAAGTCACGCTTCCATTCTGAAATAATTTTGAAATTAGTTTTAAATAATTGTATAATTGCTTAAGGGGTTAAATTTTAAATTGCAAATTGTCAAAATTTACCTGGCATTTACATTTTTGACATATATCATCAGCATGAATGAACTCTTGATCATTTCTATATAAGCGACGTCCAAATTCACAGTGATCGCAGGTAGGACAACAAGTGCCAAAAGGAGCAGCTGGATGAGAACATGGCACAGTTGGACACGGTTTTGGATGACAATGAATTTGTGAATTCTAATAATGAAAAATTTACTTTTTAATTCGTAAATCATTTACATTATTTTATTAACTTTTAAATACAAAATGGTATAAAATAAGCTTAAATATAAATACAGTAATTTCATTTCATAATTGAATTCTACTCTCTAAAGAATTCATTTTCATTTCACTTGTAAATATCAAATTGCATAATCAAAATTTTATTAATCTCATAAGTTTTTTTAAATGTACATTATTTGCTTATTTGAGTCATGAATTATTGAATTTAGAGAAATAAATGCATAAAATTGCATTTATTTTAATATTAGGGTATCATATTCATCCTACTTTTTCTATTTTTCAGTAAGAAAGTAGGAAATGTCCTACTTTTTGTCTTTAAGTGCTAGTACAGGATCAAGTTTTTTCTAAATAAAGCATGTATAATGAATTTTCTTGGTTCTGCTATTCCTTCCTAAATTTCACTAAAGAATCCAATGCTATATAATGTGATCACTAAATGGTAAACTTTAAAACTTTAATTTTAAGAAAGTTTATTTTTTTTTAAATCTCAACAATAGTTCTTCTAATATTTAATCAAGTCCAAATGATGATCACAAAAGGAAGATTTTTACTTCAAATCTTTCTAAACCGTTGCACCAATTTTCCATTAAATTAAGAAAATGTTTACTGATATTTAATTACCAACATCAACTCCAGGACCAATATATTCAGTAAATTTTATGCTTTTATTTGCACTAAAATACTTTGTATACTTTTGGTTCAGCTCTAATAAAACTATAAAATTTTTTTAGTTTATTATTACCATTTCAATATATAATAAAACTCCATCTCAATAATTTACCCAATTATGTATTAATTTTTAATAGTTTCAATATAACAATTAAATTTGACTTTAATTCAAGTTTTATGGAGCCACATACCCAAAAGGTGATTTCAATCTAATGTTTACAAGATGGAAGATACAGTGGATGATTTTTGGGTCCCAAATTTTGCCCTATTTTGTAGGAGCAGTGATGCCGACCACATTGTATCCGCATCACAAAAGGGTGACACCAAAATGAATCTCTAAAATTTTTGTGCAGTGTTTCAGCTGGAATTTATTATTATTAAAATCAACTATAGGAATATTAAAAAATAATATCATCATTTTTTGTTAGCTTAGCTTACACATATCAATATCTACAATGCTAAAACTTTATACTAATTTCCTTTTTGAACCTTCTAATGTGTTCTGGTCGGAGTTATCATTATCATCAAATTATTAAAAAAATATATGTAAATACAGGTATGCTGTGTGTATACATCATATATGATATTGTAATTTAAAAAGGTGCAATTTTAATTTTGCTACTTGTTTATGTCATTGCCATTACAAGCAGGAATTACAATTTATGGGTAACATTAGTACATAGATAAAATTACTAAGGATTTTGTATAATCTGTTATGAAAAGAGATCCTTGGGTGGCACAAGTATTGCATTGAGTGGCATCAATCCTACAGATGTTGCTGCTTTTAGGATCTAATATGCAAACCTGTTCCCTTATTTAAAATTTCAACAACTTGATTGATATTCAAAAAAAAATTTCAAAAAATAGCAGAGAATACAAACAGTATTCTCTGCTTTTTTTCAGTATTTTGTATTTTTTTTAATTATATTTACATATTTGCTAATTGTAAATATTATTGAGAAATAAAGACCATAACCTTCTATTCAAGATTATTACTCTAGTAACTAATGTGAGTGACAATCATTTAGGCAGGAATTTTTCACATGAAAAAATAAATAATGTTGAAGTGTATACTATATTAAACTTTTCCTTTCCTTGTTAATGAAAAGATATTTTATCAACTAAATATACTATAGACTGCTTTTGTATTGAACATCCTTCTTTAAGTGATGATTTTGGCAATTTTTAAATTACTCTTACTTATCCTAATTTTTCCTTTAAAAAGTCCTATTTTTCCTACCTTATAAGTCTTGAAATTCAGTAGGAGCACTCTTTTTCACTCCAAATGCAAAGTACTTTTTAATTTTTCCTTTTAATATATAATTATAAATTACACTTGTAAAAGAAACATCAAAAATAAANTGTTATATCAATAATATTAAAGCATATAAATGTATATAACACATTTAAGTTAAAAAGTAAGGCCTCTCAGAGGGTTGAAGAGAGATTTAGACACTTAAATTTCTGAGGCCTCCTGGTATATAATAAAAAAACAAAACAGCATTAAAAAGATACAGCAACTGTTATAAATTATTCCTACAATTAATTAAAATAGAAGTTGTTTTGACTTTCAGTTGACATTTTGTATTTCCAAACTATTTGTAATAGAAACTTTTATGGATTTTTCCAATTAAATAAATGTACGAAAATAAGTAGAACCGTTTAAGATGAATCCTAAAGCAGAAGAGACATTAGAATTTAGTATTTTTTTAATATAAAACACATGATTTAAATCATCCCTGATTCAAAGGAGCTCATAGAATTTTGTCTTTACTATAACAAGAGGTTAAAATGGCTCTATCTCACTTCCATAATTCAGTTTCTAATTATAAAAGATTGGATGAATGAAGTAAGGCTAAGCATCACAAGGGTTTTCTGTCAAAGGGCGAAAGAACTTTTTCAGAAATTGGTCCCTCTTTAAATGTTAGACACGTGAAATAAACCCGGCAAATTTCACGTGGCTAGTCCGTTGACAAGGCGTGAACCCACGACAAAGTAGTTTTCCTAGTTGGTCGCGGGTTCGCACCTTGTCAGTGGCTGTACTCACTCGACCAGTGGTGGGCCTAATCTTAAAACAATGATTATTCTGTGTGGAAATTGTTACAAATTGCTACATTTTCCCCAAAATTACAGTATTAAATATTGATTTAGTCTAAATCCACGATTGTTAAATGAGTTAAAACAAAAAGTTATGTTTACATTTTGTCAAGATATATGTCATACATTATTTATTATTTCAATAGCATATTTATGTGTAGCCTAAGAAGTTTATCAACCATTTGTACTTAGAATAGATTTTTAATTAAAGAAAGTATCGTTGTATGGCTTTTAATTTTATACACTATTTTATGACTGCTACGATACTTAACATTGACATAAATATTATAAATTACACTTGTAAGAAAGTATCGTTGTATGGCTTTTAATTTTATACACTATTTTATGACTGCTACGATACTTAACATTGACATAATAATTATAAATTACACTTGTAAAAGAAACATCAAAAATAAAAGCCTCTTTTATTTTTGATGTTACTTTATCCCTTCACACTTTTGGGATCCAACAACTGTCTGATGAAAGCATTGGTGGAGTCGACCTTTTCTCAGAGGCTCTTATCCACCTCAATATGCAAACATTAAACATTAAAAATCCCTCTGGTGACAGTAAAATTAAAAAATATATGAAAGAATTGGCAAAAAAGTAGACAAATACCATACCTAGTGGACACACAGACAACACCCTCAAAAAGTTAATTGTCCATACAAAAAGCAGATTATTTATTACCTCTCTTAACTATGTTTTTATTCTAAAACAATTATAATTTGAAATTCAAATTAATTTTTTAAAAATGTTAAACAAGATTTCATACCAAACACTGGCACTGCTGACATTCATCATCTGGATGTAGCCAACTTTCTCCCTCTAAATAATTGATATTTTTCATGCTACATAACTCTGGACATTGTTCACAACATTCATTTGGTAACTTGAAAGGATTTGGACAAAACAATGGTGGACAACTTTTTTGTGTACAGGAGACATATCCATTCTATAATATAGAATAAATATAAAATGTTTACAATGTCAGTCTTATTCAAAATTTTAATTTAGTTAAATACATAATAAATAAATATCATCATAAATTTTATAATTTATATATTATATAGGGTCTTCCAAAGAGAATGCTACCATTATAAATTACTGTAATTATGTTAATTATTACCTGAGATGTATGTGATATATGCCAATTATTGATAGAATAACCATCCAAGTTTCATCTCCCATCCGCATTCAAACANTTTCGAAAGGGATTTGAAAGAATAGTTCCAGTGAGATTCACCCTTTGAAGGGCAAAACAAATTAGAAGACCTGACTTTGCCTACTGTTGACTGTTGTAGCTGTAAGCAAGAGCATCGCCAGCTAATGGGGGGTCAAGATGATATAAATTGATAGAGGATATGAATTGTATGTAGGTAAAATAAAAACGATTCATAAAGTTTTAATCATTTACTATGTACTGGAGAAGAAATATCTTAATTAAAACATTTTTTTTTTAACTTACAAGAAGCCTAAGAAGATTATTTTAATTAAAACTTAGCATTTAAATAATTTTTTCGAATTTCTAGAGGGGGCAGCTGCCCCCTCCTGCCCCCTTTGCTGTAAGCTTATTCTTTTGCTTATAATAAACCAGGTAACTATTTGCAACTGTGGAATTTGTCTCTGTACCAAATGTACCCATTCACACTTTGGAGCAACTGATATTCTGATGTCACACGTGGTTTGGTGACCTTACATGTATAATATAAGAACTTACATTATGTCAAACAATATAGAATGTGATTATAATGTTATATGTATTTTCTAAACATGGAGTGATCAAAATAAAAAAATAAATTTTTGATGACTTTAAAAACTGTACATAACAAATTTAACAATAATAAGATTGAATTATAAGTGTAGAAAAAAAATTGATCTCATATAAGATACGAACTGAATATTAACTCTTCACACAACAGCTTAACTAATCACTTAGTCCTGTGGCTTTGGTAGAGTTTAAGTATGAGTAAATACTACACATCACAAAATTTTGTGGAAATTGGTGATGATAACCTCCCGGGTTTACCTTGTTAACATGGATACAAAGTCTAAGTTAAAGTATGATTGCATACAAGTCTTCTCAAGTAACTTTTATATTTTATTATAATTTGAAGATAAAGTTCATTTTTCTTCTCTTTGGCTGTTCAGATTGAAGTCATTAGTTGAATTCAGTTTGAACAGCTAAAGCACTTTTTAATCTTTTTCTAATAGTGACACTCCAACTTAGTGATTTTTTTTTCTGCAGCAACTCTGCTTTATCAATATAGAGTTATTTTGCTTTTTGTATTTTTAGTAATATACATAAGAAGTGTTCTGGCACTGCTCAACAATATATTTTGTGACACCCCAGTTGAAAACCATGAAGTTACTGAGTGAAAGAGAATATGATTGATTATTTATCTAATGCTTTGTTACTCCTATACTTTCTAAATCATTCTTTGCATCACCTAATCAACATAGTTTAGTTTAACTAAAATATTTTGTCTTGACAGTTATCAAAATTTTGCATACTATTAAATTTGAATTTGTAAAACTATTTTATATTATAATTTAAATTGTAGATATGACCACACTATCCAAATGAAAAAACAGTAAGAACAAACATTAAAATGAAAACCATATTAAAAGTCTGGTTATTTTAACCTGCCATTATTATGTTTATCACAAGGTGTCAAGGGAATGAAATCAGAAATGGAGTTGGTATCTAGGTATTATAGAAGCCTATATTTTCCTTGGATCCTAGAGAGTTAATATGAAAAATTTGCTGCAGATTGGTTAGAGCAGTGTTTTCCAAACTTTTCAGATTTTCTGCTTTCAGTACATATATTTCTTATATTATTTTGTTTGTTTCAAAATGAATTATTTTCCTCATTGTCTTTTAAGACTCCTACTGCCCCTTGCCTTCTAGTGCTCCCCAGGAGCCAACCTAGAAATTATGCCACCCTGGGCAAGATAGTTATTTGCCGCCCCTTATATATATATATATACATACAAGGTTTTCCAAAAAGAATACTATCATTATATATATGTTATATTTCAGATTCTTTAGAAGTAAAAGATTAAAAATAAATTTGTTTTTTCACTGAACATTAACATTTGTACAGTTACAGATTAATTAAAAAATCAAATTCTAAAAATTTATTGTTATGTTAGAACTTATAAAGCAAATTAATGTGTGTAAACTTGGCATGTATTCATTTAATAAAAAGAAAATTTATGTCTTATGATATGTTATGATATGTTAAATATAATTGCAGACTCTTAATATATCCATAATATAAATGCATAATAATATTTTAATAAAATTACATTTATACCAATGCAAATTTAATGTCATGATTCAAAAATTCTTATATTTTTGAAACAGTGCCAGTACTTTTTAGTAATTCAAACACAAATCAATTATTGTATTTATTCAGACACTTGGCAAATCTCATCATTAAATTTTATTCAGTTGATATGTGTTCATTGTATTTTTACACGTTTTGGGCATTTGTTGCCCCTCTTCAGCCAACTTGCAGTTTTTCTCTGTAATTGTTGTACAATGAACACGTATCAACTGAATAAAATTTAATGATGAGATTTGCCAAGTGTCTGAATAAATACAATAATTGATTTGTGTTCAAATTATCAAAAATTCTTAATTTAATTGTTATATAATAGAGTTTAGTGATTCAAAGTATAAAAAAAAAAGAAGAAATAACATTAACAAGGAGAACCCAGGAGGATGTCATCACCAATTTCGACAAAATATTGTGGATGTGTAGTATTTATTCATACTTAAACACTACCAAAGCTGCAGGACCCACTATTCAAGCACTCTAGAAAATCACAATTAATATTTTTCTAAAACTATTGATACCTATGCAGAAGCACCATTCACATGTTCATGGCTTGGCATGATTAGTTAAAGCATTGCATGATGAGCATTAATATGCAGGTTCAAATCCCATATGAGATTAAGCTATAAATGTAAAAAAAATTTATCTTATTGTTATTAAATTTGTTATGTACAATTTTTATGTCTTTTTAAAATTTATTACTCTTTATAAAATAGGAAATTCAAAAATTATTTTTTAACAATTTATTGCACAAAAAATATACATGCAATAAATATTTACAATTACTGTTTCACAAAAATATGACATTTTTTGGTGGCATTTATCATAAATACAGTTAAAACATAATGGTTCAGTGCACCATGCACAAATAATCATTACTACTTCACTTGTACCTATACAATCTTTACATTTTGTTTTAACAACAATGAAAACAAATTTCATTAATGTTTTTGAAGATATTTCTTTCACATGTTATTTAAGATGCATTGTTTGCATCTCAAATAACATGTCACAAAACACTGGTTGTGAATTAGAAAATGTATTTTAATAGCATCTTTACAATTGGCTATTTCTCTATTGGTTTTAAGGAAATAGCTACAGTACACTAGTGCTTGTTGATGCAGTAAGAATATCCATATCTCACAAACCAAATACAGTATAAGCAAACACATCTATAAAAATTTGTCTGGCATGCTTAATGGTTTTATACTGTCTATTGTTGGGGTCACTGGCAAATGAAAAAAGAGAGTTCTAGCTGTCAACTTTGGTCGCTTCCCTTTCTACATCAAAGGGAATTCTAGTGTTGCCCTTACCTTCCAGTAAAATGAACAGTCTAAGCAGAAAGCATAACTTTCTTTGTCTAGTTTTCTTTACTGATCAGATTAGGCCTATCTACAATCTACAATATATATATATATATATACAGTAGAGCGTCGATTATCCAAAAGTCAATTATCTGAAACGTCAATTATCCCATTCAAACATGTTGTCTACTGACCCTAGGAAGATGATGAAAATGATGATTCTGCAATAGAAAGGCATTTTGTGTTCTGCAGTTTGCAAACTTGGAATCAGTCATCATTGCGCAATAAGAGTAATCTGCAGAAGCCATTGAATTGTGGCTACTAAGGGAGGAGTGACAATGGATATNTTAAATTCAAGTTAAAAAATAAATAATGCGAAACATGCATTACTTACTTTGCAAGTACAGTTTTGACAAGGATCATAATCAGGAACAAAAGATTCTCCATTCATATATGTTTTATTATAATGTATGCATTCTTGACAAACTGGACAACATTCGTTGGATACAGTAATTGGAGAAGTACAAGTCAGTAATGGGCATTGTTTACTTTCACATTCAACATTGCCTATTAAAATGAACTAAATTATATTTATTCTAAGCATAACAGAGAACTATCAAATGATTATTTCAAACCTTTGTAGCATCTGCAATGTTCACAGGTATTATTTGATTCTATAATTGCATTATTAGGGTAGATTTTTCCATTGTGTTGACAACCTGAATTTTATAGAGAGAGTAAAATTCCATTTTTTGCATATTTATTATTTTGCTTTTCAAAGAAATACTTGAAGAAAGTACCACTGCAATCTGGACAACATTGATTTGTTCTTTGAATAGGATGAGTACATTGAATGTCACACATCATACGAGTGCAACGTATAATTCCCTCTTCACAACTACACACTTGACAAAAGTCAGAAGGATGCATCCATCTGTTACCATGCTGCAAATGACGCCCACTTTTATCAATACATCCTATTATCATAAGTATACTTACTTTTAAAAAAATTGGATGGAGGAAAAATTATACACTGACATATATAAGTAAATCTTACCTTTGCAAATTGGACAGCATGTGTTTTCTAGCTGTTCTGTTATTTTGCATGGAAGATCTTGACATTGAATCTGAGAAGGAAAACATGTGATATTTCCTTCATTACACTGGCAGATATCACAAGGGCTATCATTAGGCACAAATTTCATACTGTTTGGCACTAATCTGTTGTCATATAAACAATCTAGAAAAATATAAATCTTGTATTCCTTTCAGTTATTAGTAAAAGTAACTTTAAAATTTATTGATTTACCAGTACAAGGAGAACAACATCTTCCAGGTTGAACAATACCATGAGTACATAATTTTTCACAATGTTTCATTAAACTGCACATTGCAACATTCTCCTTACAATATTATTATTATTTTGAAAGAACATCCCACAAGNTTAAGGTTATTTATTAGATTTAGCTGCATAAAATACATTTATAATGCGTTAAAAATTAATTTTTTAAGTCAACAACGAAGATAAATGGCGGCCATCTCGAAGATTAGACACGTTTGGAAGAATTTAAATGGTTAATATCAGGTAAAGAGCAATAAAATATATTTATATATTTGAAAATATATCTTCTCTGATCATGGAAAAAAATGGGAGAAAGAAGCATTGAAGGATTATTTTCTAGGAAGGAAAACAATCTCGCAATCTCTGTTGAAGATATTGGATCTTGTTTAACAAATGGTTCCATGTACTGTACGTAAATAATGGATTGTTGTAAACGGGGATTAAATTTTTAAAGTGTATTAAATATACATATATGTATATGTATATAAAGAAAATAATGCGATAAATATGAAAAATGGCAACGATAAGAATAAAATGTAAATTAAATTTTTATAGATCTACATGTTTATCAAATTGCAGAAGCCAGTTGTAGAGGATGTCACGCGTGTAATTGATGGCTGCTAAAATATTGCAGATGTAAAATATTGTTGTTTATTTTATAAGATTGATTAAGTTTATTTAAAATAAAACGATAAAATAATACAAAATTTTAATTTTGTGTTTTCTTATCTTTTTTTCTATACANTTGAACTTAATTTTTTTTCACATACTGGGACATTCTGATGGACAACATTCTCCTTTAGGTATTCTTGCATTTTTGCAAGGTGCAGGACTGCAAGTTATTGATTGACAATGAAGAGTTTCATTCTAATGTGTAAAATAATACAAAGTTACTAAAATCATAATATATATTTAAAATAACTTTATTTCTTACCTGACAAGTACAAGTGATACAAGGATTATATTTAGGAGTAAACATTTGATTATTATAATAATGTTTTCCCTCATATTTACAACCTATAAGAATTATTTTTTAAATTTTTCTCATAATATATTTGAAAATAAAAAATATCTTACCAGAAAAACATATTGGACAACATTCATTTTTTGGAATTATTTGCTGACTGCATAAAGGAATAGTACATGCAATTGATTGACAGATAACATTACCATCCTATTCAAATTACTTTTGAATTGGTAAAATGTACATAAAATATAAATATTGTAACAATAACTAACGTAATTTTGAATTATTTAAATTAGCTTACTTTGCATACACAACTGTTGCAAGAATCCAAAGCAAACTTTTCTTGATTTCTAATAATGATCCCTTCATACTCGCAATCTGAAAAAAATTAATATGAATGTAATAATTTAACTAATTTTATCTAAATATATAAAATTACTTGTCCTGACTGACTGACTGACTGACTGTCACTGATTGATTCATCATCACCCAGAGCAAACCGCTGAACCTAGAGGTGAAATTTGGTACACAGTTAGGGTACATCATGAAAACACACACTAAGAAGGGATTTTTCGAAATTCCCCTGCAGGGGGAGAGGGAGAGCATTAATGCTTAACCTGAAGAATGGCTTTTGAAATTGATTCCCATACTTTTCCTTAAATTGATAATATTTATAACAATGCCTGAAATGTTTTTATATATTTCAATTTTTTAACCAAATGTTTGAACTGTTTTAAATTCGAATTTGTTATTGCATATTGGTTCGATTATAGAACGATTGTAAACGTTCCAGAAAATTGATCAAATTGAAAATAGTTCATTTGATTCTCAGCAATTCTCATCATTCTCAGCGGTAGGTGTTATATAACAATTACTATTGTTGTTGAAATACTGAATATAAATGGGGTTTGCTTGCAAAATCCCCGCAGGCGAAGTCATGGGTAACAGCTAGTTAATAAATAAAATTAGCTAATGTTCATAATAAAGTTACAATTTTAAATATCATATCAAAGTATTATGCATGTTTCTATCTGGCATTAAAATATATTTTTTTTCTGTAAGTTTTAGTTTATTTTTTGTTTTTATAGTCAAATTGTTTATATATATTTTATTTTCCATTTTGGGATGTATTCACTTTATTAAATTTAAAAATATTTATTGAAATTAAACAATTAAAAACATGAATAAATACCATTGCAAATTTTACAGCAATTTGATGTTCTAGGATGAGAGCAATTAAATTCTGGGCAATCATTTGTTTTGCATGATATTTCACCATTCTACAAAAATAAACAATATTAAATTTTGACAAATTAATTTTGCTCATTAAGATATATAATTAATGACCTCACAAATGCATTCGAGACATTTATCTTCCTTCCATCTGGACCCGTTATTTTCTTCTTCACACTGAGCACATATAGGACAACATGAATTCTTCGGAACTATTCTATTTGCAAGATTACACCAAAGTAATGGATTGCATTTGATTTCTTCACATAACACATTGCCATTTTGACATGTGCACTCCATACATGGATCTGCAGGATCAATAAATCTAGCACCATTCATATAATTTTTATTTCTGTAGAAGCAACCTAAACAATTATTTAAAATGAGAAACAAATAAAATATAATTTCATAGTAATGAATATAAATATCACCTTCACAACGTGAACAACATTGATTTTTCATGGTAATGGGATGGGTGCATTTCAGATCCGAAAGGCATTGAATTTTATCACAAGTTATTGTTTTGTTCTAAAAGTTAAGCGAATGTTTATTTATAAAAAATATTTTATATATCTCTCTGATTTAACAATTTTATATTTATTAAAATATATTTTTGAATTTTTGAATTATAAATTATAAATAGGATAAATAAACCTTACCTTACAAGAACATAAATGACATGGATGATGTATCCAAATTTCATTTTCTCTGTGCAGGACATTTTTGTCATCAATACAATCTGATAGAAATGAATAGATTTAAGAATTCTGTTATAAAACAATTAAATTACTAATAAAGAAAATATTTTAAAACCATTTAAATTTCAAATTATAAATTTACTCTGTTCGGAACAATTTGTCTGTCTTCCTGTACTTTTATCGTAAAATCTAGCTTCACAAATACCACATCTATACGGAATGCATTCTGTATTTGGAAAATTTGAACAAGAATGAGATAAACATATATCATCACAATTCAGAATAGCAACACCTAAGCTGCATCCAGATTTAATGTTTAATTCAAAACAAAATCTGAAAGGAAAAAGTAAAAGTTGTTATTAACAAAACAAACAGAAACAAAATGAATGCATTTTATAAAATGCATTCATTTTGTCATTTCTATTTTATTTACTGGTAAATTTTGTTTCATTTTGAATTTGATAATAAAAGAATTCAATTTCAAAATGAAACAAAGATATAAACAATTTAAGTTTTATTAAATAAACACAATATTTTATTAAAAACTTTTTTTTAATGTAAGTAAACATTGCATATATGAAGTTATGATTTCTTAAATTTAATTTGGCGGCACTTATGAATTTATGAGAAGCTTACTCTTCTATTCAGTTGTTTTGAAAGTATGCAGATATTTTTTTTAATTTAAAGAAACTAAAATACACAATTTTTATATTCAAAACTATTTTTATGTAACAAAATAATTTCTATCACCATTTAATTCTTTTTCCTGTATATTAAATAGTTACATATTTTCATTTGCAAAAATATTTAAACTAATTTGACTTGAATAATTTAAATAATATTTGATGTCTTTAAATATTTTTAAAATTTGAAAACATTAAAGACATTAATAGAATCAAAAACATCAATTTAAATTTTACAGAAAAGATAATAGTAAAATAACAACTGGGTAATGCAAGAAATAATTAAAAATTTACTAGTTAAACCCCTTTAATTTTAATTGCATAATTTTTCAACAAGTAATTGAGTAATGTCTTGAAATCAAAAAATTGTAGTTTTTCACCAACTACTACTTTAAATTAGCCAATATTTAGCTGAATTAATTTTTTTTTCATTTTTTGAATGAGTCAATGAATAATTCATTTTTATCCCATCAAACGAAGAGGATGATCTTGTTTGAAGATTGTCCTTTGCATTTATCTAATAGAAGAGGAATTTGCTTGTTTAAAGACTTACTATTATATAATGATAAAAAGTAATTAACATTTGCAAAATCTCAAACTTTCCAAAAATTTATTAGTATTACCATATGTTTTGTGCATATAATCCAGGGCCAGTTTTGGACTGTTAGTTGCCAGCGTGCAACAGATATGATCAGCATTGATAGAGGTGGCCAAATGAGTAAATTCATTACTTGACCCAACCCATGAAATCCTACTGGTATTTTTAGGACAATTTCATATAGTTGACAGTGGTAAAAAAATTTATAAAAGTATTTGCTATAAGTTATATTTATTTTAATTTTATTCAAATTAAGCTACTCTGTAGATAAAAGGTGTCTTTGTTCAAAATTATATTTTATTGCTGCCATAAAATAGAATTTGCAAATTAAAATGAAATTAATTTAAAGAAACTTTTCTTATTTAGTATATAAATACAATATAATATATAATTTTTATACAATATGTGTAAAACATTAATTTAAATGTAAATATTTAAATTAATAACGTTCATGCACATCTCTTTCTTTAATTTCCTTTTGGATCCATCAACAATCAAAGCAATGGTTTAATTTTAAGATTAAAGGTACAGGAATAAAGGCCCATTCATAATGAAAATTAAGTATAAATATAAAACCTTGTATTTATGTTATTTAATGCAACCATTCACAATGAGATGATTAAGTTTAAGATTAACTTACATAAAAGATATTAACATAAATAAAGCTTGGAGTTTGTAAACTTTAATTTTTTTCTACTTTTTATATGATTTAAAACAAGAAACAATAGTAGTAGTTATGGAATTTCCACTAATGAATTTAATTTCCACTTCATATACAATAAGCTCATGAAAGTGATAAACAAAATATAGTCATTTTAAAAGTGAACTTAAATTATTTTTGTGCAATACATTAGTAATAACTTATCTTTATTCAATCAATTTATTAATATATTTAACATTGAGAAGATATATAACTTTAGGTGCATGGAATCCTAATTCATTATATCATATGAAATTTATAAGATGAATTACAATATGAATTAAAATTCCATAATTAAATATAGTTGAACCTATCTATCACAAATCTCATGGGAACAAGAAATGATTTGAGATACAGATTTTGTTCCTACAGGAAGACAGGAGAAGTTCCTACATAATAAACAGTAATAGGTTTGATTGGAAGTATGGTATTGTGTTATTACAATAGCAAGTACAGTTTGTTCTTGTATTAGGTATAAATAAGACATTTTTGACATACCTTAATAGAAACTTTCTGGTGCTCGACTTTCTTCAACTAATAAGATACAAGCCAAACTCATAGCCAATCAGAGAAAAGCAGTATTAATTGCAACTACATACAGGTATACCTCGCCTTACGTCAGTAATTGGTTCCAGGAGAGGTGATGTAAGTCGAATTTACTTGTCTCCGAATCTACTTGTCACTAGGCTAAACCATAAATTACCATTCCCGGTTCTGTATTTTATTTATTAATGCATTTTTAATAATATATGGTTAATAAGGATCTATTTTAAGCTTACAAACAAATAAATTTTAGTTTTTAATATAGTACAGAAAAAAGTAATCTAAATTTATGAATGCATGTACTGTAAATACAGTACATACTTGTAAATGTATATATTTATGTGCTTTAAACACTTTTCTAGTGATATTGAAGTCTTAATTGTAAAATTGAGTTGAGTAAAATGACTTCATTTTTATTTTTCCATATACTTTTTTGACAAACGACATATAATCGGGAACGACGTAACTTGAAACGACATAAGTCGAGGTATACATGTATTGTGTTGCAAGAGATGTTTCTCATCTGCAATTTATGATATAAAAATGTAGTTGCCAAGCTTTGAATTTGTAATCAACACTTTGATCCATAATTTGAAATATAGAGGTGTTGGGAGAAAATTATTTGAGATAAACATTGAAAATATATTGAATTTAGGCTGAAAATGCAGGAAAAAAATAAATTTTGAGATAAATGTGTTTGAGAAAGACAGGTTCAACTGTATCTGTTTTATAAAATTTTGTAAGAAAAATATTAAATTAATGTGTTCTGAAAGTATAGATTATTTTTTTACTTTTTTAGCCTTACAAACATTAGAAGTGTCTTTTGTCGTTTTTCCATGCCTATCATGGGTTTCAACAAGTCCACAATTTGGGGTTTGTGAGGGATGGGGCATAACATCTAGGACAGACTACCCATGAAAATTTATGGGGTTTTATACATGACTGAATTTGATGCTAGATCCCCAGAGCAGTAGATTGATGTCTTAACCACTTTGTTTAAAAAAATTTATAAGAATTTTTAGTTTTAAACAAGTTTTTTTTAATTTAATTAAATTATAATATTCTTGTGTTCAACAGTTATTTTATTCATTTAAAAATGTTTTTTCATTAATTAATTTTCAAAATTATACAAAAATTAATAATCTAATGGTTTTACCTTTCATCAGACGAGTCAGTTGGCAAATTTATCTCATAATCACTAAGATCATCTACTGGATGATGAATTATCATTGTTTCCTCAAAATTTCTTATGGAATCAATTTGATTGTTTCTTTCAAACCATAACATAATTAGCCACCAATCTGGTAATGATGAAATTTGTGGACAAAGTCTTTTAATATTTATTAAACTTTTTGTAGGATCATAAATCTGTTCATCTACCCAACTTTTAAATAAATAATAAAATGGACCGTTATAGAAAAAAGAACAATTGTTTTTGTCATATCCATATATATTAAATCCATAAGCATCATAACCTTCTCGATCAAATCCAAATATATTATATCCATATTTGTCATATATTGAGGCATTCATGACATTATTGATACAGTCTCCATGCACTGTACATCCATCTCTATCCAATCCAAAACGATTGAATCCATTTCTATCATAACCTAAAATGTTGAAACCATCACGATTGTATGTATCTTTATGATAGCCTTGTCTATTCCAACCAAGCATATCAAATCCACTCTGTCTATAGCCTTCTTTATCATAACCAAATTTATCAAATATTCCTTCTTTAACAATTTCCTTAGAATTATTATAAAATTTAAATATTTCAGAATCATTGCAAGGTGCTCCTTTAGTTGGTTTAAGATAGTGAACACATATTTGCTTTTCATTAAGTAATACATCATCTGGTGTTATGCCAAATGGTGCCATTGGGATATATCTAAGCAAAGATGGATATTGTGGCACACCATTATGTTTATAAGTTTTCCAAATATCCCAAATTCTATCAATAAATGCATAATGAGACAGAAAGATTGGATCATAAGGAGCTTCAGGTGTAGACATATGTCCTCCGACAAAAAGATGAAAGAGACTACTCGATGCTTCTAAATTTATTCTGAAATCTTCATACCTTTCATGACTAATTATATATTGTAAGTTGATAGCATCTGGAAGATATATAGAATTATTAAACTGTCTTCGAAGGCATGGAGTCCAATAAGGAGGGTAATGTTCTTTAAATGGATGATAACGAATACATTTGCTTTCACTATCTCCATTACCACCAAAATAATTAACCTGCCATACAATGGAAGATTCTAAATTTCCTGTGTCAATTGTCCAATCAAAGTATGGAATAGTGACATTACAGTCAAATTTCTGTAGTTCCATTTCAACTAATCTCAAAAAGAATCTGTGCCAAGGAAGAAACTGTGGTGTACCATGTAACTGACCAAAGTGCTGGGAATATAAAATTGCAAATTGTTGCCATTTTGATGGTCGATTATTTGAAAACTGGAGATGCTTAATTGCTTGTTGGTAACGTTGCATCTCATATTGAGTCATATCTCTAATTTCCTTTCTGTTATTAGTTTTCGAACAAGGACATACTATGCTACCATACTGTTGGCATTCACATAAAGAACAACCTAACCAAAATGTTTCTCCAATTTTATAAGATTTGTCCAAAAAATTACATCCACATTGATCCTTGCAGTTTATTTCCTCACATTTCTTTCCTGGACTAAATTTTACAATAGTTCTTTTTAATTGAGGAAATTCTTGTTCTGCCTTTTGACAATCATATAATGACATAGCTTGACAAGAATATGTCCATCCAGCACATAATCCAAATCTATCCCAGCCTTCATGATTATATCCATAACAGTTATAACCTGCACGATCATAACCACTTTCATCTAAGCCATTCTCTTCATCATAATCAATAATTCCATCATGATCTCCAAAAATGTTATAACCTAATATATTAAAATTTCTTTCATTTTCATTGATATTCCATATATTTATAACAAATTTAAACTCTTACCTGTTAAGTTGAAACCTGAAACAGTGTGAAAACCTTGTCGATTGTAGCTGAGACGATTTACTCCTAACTGATTAAAACCATACTGATCATAACCTAAATACAATGATAAAACAAAATTTTTATTTTAAATTTAATTTGAATTTAAAAAATATATTAAAAAATATTTTCTTCTCATATGAAAATATACAATGCTATTATCACATTATGTACAAATATGAGAATTACAAACCAAAAGAACATGAATTCATTGATGTTCTTTTTATTTTCTAACCAATTTCAAAATTTATTTATAGATATTTAGAAATTTTTAAATAAAATATATTATTTATGCAATTATAAATTGATAGAAAATAAACGTTATCCATGACCAATGTCATCAAATAATTAATTCAGTAATCAATAAATTTAAAATGTAGCAAAAATAACATGCTTTCAAATCTCTACATTGCTGTAATTTCCTGTACATAGTTTGCAAAAATTGCTATTACTCTCAGCTTGCATCTGTTTTCAAATTATCTTTAAAACACACACATAACCCATAAATTATACACAGAAAATTACAGTAATGTAATGTAGTTAAAGTTTACATGTACAATTAATGATAACATGCTTATTAATTCATTTCTTTAGTTTATTTGATAACTCAACATCTAATAAATGAGAAATAATATTTCTGTAATGAATTTCTGCATCATTTATCAAAAATGGAAAATTTCATATAACTTCTTGAAAAAATTTTAATTAAATAATTAATTATTTCATTGAATGAAAACTTTATAATCACCAGTAGTTATTTCACATTCATTATCTGTAACCAGTTATTTTGCATTTCATCAAGATATTAATTGTATACAAAATTTATTTATCTTTTCTTACATTTTGTTTTTCACTATATACCATATTTATAATTATATATAATTGTTATTGATAAGTGTATAGACTATTGACAGTATTTATTCTTTAATCATGACCCAAATCTATTTATAGAATTGAATAGTATCAATGTATTAAAGAGATAAAATTCTTTTAATAAATATATTACAACCTTTGTTAATTGAAATATAAATATGTAACTAGAAAAAAACTAGTTTTGATTAAACAAAAATCTATTTTGAGACCATGACAACATAAAAATTAATCCAGTTTAACAATCAATTTAATTTATCATCAATATAAAATATTAATCTAATAATATTTAAGTGAATAAAGTTTAATATTAAAATGCTATTTTACAAATATATATTTAATGATCCAAAACAAATATAATATGGAATAATTATTTATATTTATTATTTTAATCATAGAAGAATTAGCATTCATATTATGATTTCTTTTGTAAAAAAGCATTTCACTTTGATATCAACCATTTTGCATATAGTTATAATTATTGTCATATTTTTTAAATAAGTTATGAAAAGTTAAGAATTCTTTTATATTAATTAATAACAAAAATCTTTTTTAAATTTATAATCACGTAAAGTTTTAACTTATAACTTCATACAATACCAATACAAGAAGTATTCTATGCATTTACAAACCAATTTGCTTCTATTTGTGTTAAAAATAAATAAATATAAATAATCATTAATTAAATAATCTCATTAGATTTAATTATTTAATTATAATTATATAATTAAATAATCTGCAAGTTTTTTTAAAATATTTTGTCAAGTAATCTCTTTTTGATGATTAATCATTTTCAAAAGAAAGATCTATAATTAGTTAAGTTATAATGTTTTTATAATTTTTTTTTATTTTCTAAACTTATAAATATTTTTAGATTTTTGAAATTTCTACATTGATTCAGATAAAATCTGTAATATTGAGAGCAAAACAGGTTTCTCTCAATTACAAATCAAACTGGAAGTTCTTCTCTAATTTGCAAAATATGATTGCAAGAACCAAAATAAGCAGATAAATTCTAACTTCTCAATTCTGAAATTAAATTTTGTATTGAATTTTAATTTAGTTTTAACTAGTCAAAATATGAATGCAATCTTCTTTCTAATCAGATAATTGTTTAGCTGATATAATTGTAGAAATTTATAATACCTTCATGATCATATCCATCATAGTTATACAATCCAAAAATTCCACCAAAGGAATAATTAACACTTTGTATTTCACCTTTTCTGTTAAATCCTTGTGTGTTGAACCCATATCTAGTAAAATAATGAAAATATTTAATTACAATTATAGTTAAAAAAAATCTATTAATAAATAAATACCTATCATAGTTATCCTTATTATAACCATAGTTTCTTTCAGGATGCAATGGCTCCCTCCAGCAACAAGCTCCTATTATACAAGTAATTCTGCATTTATAAAAAGAATCAAAATTATTGCTATTACCAGAGCATCCATTATAAAGAAAACGTTCGCAGTTTCCAGTTTGTAAATTAAAATACCAACGTTCTTGTTTTTGTCCACAAATATCTGAAATGTAAACTCTTCATAAAATTTGTTCAGCTAGCAGAATTTAAAATATTTATAATTACTGTAAATAATTACTTTTTCCATGATCTAGAGGCAAATAACACATTTGTATTGTTGAATGCTCACAAAAAGGTCCTTCAAATCCCAAAGGGCACTGACAAGTAACAAGTTGAGGTTCTGTCGGCCAGATTGAAGACATACAAATTCCACCATTATGACAAGGATTAGGCTGACAATAATCTAATAAGACAAAAAATATTCTAGTTAAAAATGTGGAGATAGAATCTATAAAGTGCACAAAAGATAAAGTCTGGCTAAAGTTGCTTACCTGGAGAAATACTGCAATCTACGAGTTTGTCTTCTAAATACCAATAAATATTGCATTTTTCACAAAAATCAAAGAAATACTGTGCTTCTGGATAATGTTCACAATTAAATGAAATAACTGAATTATCACAAGTTGATATCTGCCAATAACAAAATCCATTTGCAAAGAAGTGAAGAAAATTCATTATCCCACATTAATAATAATTTAATTAAATTTTATACATAAAAACAAAAATTGTATTATTTTATTGAATATATAAAATATAATTAATATAAATATTTACTATTGATAACAAAATTTGCTTTCAGACTCCAATTAAATTAATTTTATTCATTATCTATGATAAATATTTTGAATAATCAAATAGTAATTTATAATGCATATGAAAGGAGGAGCAAAAGAATCTTACAGAAAATATAATCTTATGTGAAACTATTATAGAATTTTGAAATTTGTTTTTTCTTTCTTTCAAAAGCATTCTAATTGAATATTATATTTCAGAATTCCCATAGAAAAAATTTATTGTAATAAGTTAATCTGTTTTTAATCTATTTAAAACTAATCACATTACACTACCATGATTACATTAAAAATCAGGGCCATTGAGAAGGAAATTTAGGGTTATTCCCTGGACTTGTAGAAAACTTAGAGGCCCTTATTGGTTCCTATCCCTATAAATTAATGTTATTTTTACTAACAGAAAATAAATTCTTCAAGACTGCTTTTTATTCATAATGAAACATTCTACATATTTTATTTGTTCCAACATAACAAAAAGGCCCATTGTATCCCTGGGTCCCATATAAGTTTTTTAATTATCCTGTTAAAAATAATGTATTTTTAAACTGAGCTCTATAAAATTTGAAAAAACTTATAAATAAATTTATAAATTACTTTTTAAATTAAATGATTTAAAAATCAAGTACAAAAAATTATTAACTTTTCATTTAGGAGAACAAATAGTTTTGTTTTAAAATTTTTTAAGATTTAAAACGAAAAATTTTGTTTTAAATCTTAAAAACTTTTTATATTGGTTCATTTAATATGCAATAAATTAATTGATAAAAAATTTTTCATTGTAATTATACAGTTTTAATGCCATATATATCAGATTATAATAACTTTAGTTTTTCAATTTATTGGTTAAATTTTGATAATTTTTATCTTATCTAATCAGATTGATTTCAAACTAAATAAAAATGTATCTTTAATTCACAATATATTTTATTTACTTAAACTTATTTTCATACTTAAATTTTGATCAAAACCAATGAAATCCATTGGTTTGCTAATGGATACGTTTTTATGTATTTATCATTNATATATATATTATTTGTAATTATAAATAATTATAATCTCCCTAGAATTATCATTATTATAATGTTCAGCATTAATTGCTTATTTGTAATTGTAATTAAAAATAGGTATAATTTAATTATACAAAACATAAATAAAATAAAAGCTTAGTGAAAATTAAATTCTCCTTTTGCATCTAAGATGTCCTCTCATTGGTGCCCTTGGTATCAAGTGCCTCTATGTCTTATATACACTGCTTAGTGCATTCCTCTGGCCCTGATCAGAAGCATTAGATATCTTTTTCTTTAAAAGTTCCTTAATATCAAACCATTACCATTTAATGCTATTGAAGTTAAGTGAGCAGAAACAAAATCTAATAAGAATTCAATAGATTTGCCAATCCAATAGACTTATTGATATTAATGGTAACCTACTTAATAAAACATATTGGATATTGAAAACAGATCCATCAAGATCTGGTATGTTTTATTAAGTTGTGTTTCCATTTAAAATAAATAAGCATATAAGACCAATAAAGGTACTACAGTATATTCATAAGTTTCAAAAACTTAGCTAATAGATTTTTTAACAAGAAAAATTGTTTTGTTACTCTGTTTGACATTTATCTTAATAATATTATAGAATAATAAAATCAATTAAGTTAAAAGCAAAACAAAAATAAATATTCTACCAAACAGAACAAAACCAAAAAACAAATATCATCATATGACATCAATTTATCATGAATTTAATTTAATTTGAATCAATCTAAAATGATTTATGATTTAATACATTAATATATTGTGACAAGTGACAAGAGAAATGAAATATATAATAGCAAAGAATTAATTTATAAAAGAATCTTTATTCTCCTATTTCTGAATAGAAAAAATAATAATAATTATTAGTTTGAGATGATTATTATTATACTGGAGAGAATATTAATACCATAACTGATCAGTAAAATTATAAGATTAAAACTTAATTGTATATTTATTTCTATACAAATAAGTTGTAATTCAAAATTTAAATCTGAACAACAATTTATATAATTTTAATGAATGTTTCATTTTAAATTTTTAAATGTTTTAGTAAAAATATGTTCATTTGTATTGCTTTCAAACACATTTTAAATTAAAATATTCTTACCAATTCGGTTTTGCAAGGACATTCAGACAAGAACACATCAGTATCAAAACAAAATCGTTCTGACCATATAGATTTTGTAAAACCATTTTCCTACAAAAATTAAACATGATTTTATGTAAATGAATAAATAAACAATTTAAAATTTAATAAATTATAATTATTATTTCACAATTAAAAATAATTAAATAATTTAAGTTTAATTAAAATTTTAAAGCATAATTAATAAACCAAAATTTTTAAAAAACATTATGAAACACGGAAAAAAAATCTTTTTCATTTTAAGAGCATACCAAAAATTTAAAATAAATGATGTAATAATCCACTTAAAATTAAAAATTTTCATTTCAATAAACGTTTTAAATATAAAAAAAAAAAAAAATTTACTCTTGTATTTGATAGATTAATATCATCTTCAATGTTCCATATAAGCAATTTCCAATTTTCTGGCATAGACTGCACTTTGTGGCAAGTTCTAGAAATGCTGCTCAAAAATTCCTCAGTTTGTTTTTCAATTATATTTCTAATCTTACTTGCTTGAATCAAAACAAATGGTCCATTTCTTCCATAGCTACATCCATTCTTATCTAATCCTTTTTTATTATATCCATATTGATCAAATCCTTCTTCAGACATTTCTAATAATGAAAAATTAAAAATAATACTAACTCATTCATTTAATTCCATGCAGAAAACTACTACTATTGAAAATAAAATTAATAAACAAACATTACAATAAAATTTTCCAGTTTTTTTATTCCTGTATTTATCTATTTTGTATTTAAATTAGATATTGCAATGTTGATATCAATGTAACTGACAATATTTTAATAATTTATATAGTGTTAGCTATTTATTACAAAACATATTGCAGATATGTGCAGCTTAACTATAGTGATACATTCCAAGAAATAGACAATTACACAATTTCATAATTAAGTGATCATCATAAAGTGAATGTATATGTAAAATAACTATATATATATATAGTTGTGTCATATAAAAAAGATATAGATGGCAAAATATTTTTCAGCTCCATTATAATCTTACTGAACCTCTGTTGTACTTGTATAAACAGTCTGCCATTAAGCAATACACATCAATTTTGAACAATATATATTTTACTAAAAATAATTTGTAATAAGAAATAATGAAAACTCTGTTCAACAGTAAACAAAGAGAAAATCTTGATAAAGGAAATTTCAATCAAATGTATAATCTTTTTATTACTTTGTTTATTTATTTTTACTTACAAGTACAGATTAATAAGATTTTTACATACCACCAGATTTAAGACAGTCACCATAATCTGTTTGATTTTTTTCAATGTGATGGTCAATGCTATTTTTCCAATAACCTTTATAATTAAATCCATAACGATCAAAACCTTCACAATCATATCCTTTTATGTCATAACATTCTCGATTATAACCTGTAAAATAATTTATACACTTGATTACTGAAATCATGAAAAATAATAAAAATAACAAGAAGAAAAATGAAACACATTGCACTTTTAAAAGGAAAACTAAAAAATAAATCTGATGTTTAAAAATTATTAAATATATATCTAAATGTCAAATCATTCATTATTAGATAATATATTCCTTATTTAAAATAAATGAGAATTACTTGTAACTATAACTTATTAAAATTCAATTTTTTTCACTACACTTACACAATTGCAGAAGCACAATCACTTATATTATCAGTAATGTATGAATAAAATTATTTAGTTAAAAATATCTAATAATATTTGAATATTATATATATATTATTTGTAATTATAAATAATTATAATCTATATCTTTTTTATCACCATTTGGTAGTATAATTTGAAAAAAGGAATCTATATATTTATTGTACATATTAATAGATTACTTATAAGTTATACCAGAAAATTTGATAACATTGAAAAGTTCTAAAGTTTGAAAGGACAATGTGGATTTCATGCCAAACATTCATGCTAAAAAATAATGTAACTTAAAATAATTTTAAACTTACTACTTTTATGAAATCCATATTTGTTATAACCTCTACGATCATATCCAGCTCTGTCATATCCTTCTTTATTGTATCCATTATAAATAAAAATATTTCTTGTATCATATTGACCAAACCTGTTGTAGCCTAATATATTGTATCCTTCATTATCATAGCCATCCCTATCAAATCCTTGTCTATCAAATCCTAAAATAATTTTTGAATATTAATCAAAGAATAGAGCCATTAAACATTTTCAAGAATTGGACAAATCATAGGAATGATAACATTACCTTTGGAGTTATATCCATCAAGGGCAAAATCATGTTCATCTGTATAATTGCAAGGATGACCTTTAGAAGGCAAAGCATAACTTACACATAGGTTCTGTTTAGAGTCAAATATTGTTCCCAAAGATATGTTAAAGGGAAAAATTAATCTGTCAAAATTTATATTCAAATTTTTTTTATATTTATGCAAACTTTCCCATTTCCAAAACAACATATCAATGTAAGCATGTAAGATATAAAAAACTGGATCACTTGGAGCATCTAAAAAATAAATTAAATAATAAAATATATAAACAAATTAAAATCAAATAAGGAAATATGGAAAACAAACCTAATGTAGTCATAGTTCCACCAATAAAATTATGAATGTATCCAACTAGATTCTTCATAGCCATATTAAATTTTATAAAATTATCATTTCTTAATGCTATTTCTACTTCTATCATATTTGGAATCTGAATGCTTGGATTAAATTTCCTTTGAAGACAACATTGTTTTGTATTAAAATCCTTTTTATGAAAGGGATGATCAGGAACACAGTGTTCATCACCTTCACCATTTCCACCAAAATAATTTGGTTGCCAAATAAAAGAATCTGAAAAATTTCCCACATCTGTAGTAAAATCAAAGTATGGTATTGTCAAATGGCAAGCATAATTCTGAAGATGTTTTTCTACATGCTTCAAAAATAATCTATTCCATAATAAAAAATAATTATTGTTGTAAAAGTGCATTATATATGAACTGTACATCTCAACAAATTGATTCCATTCATCATTCATTTCTTTAATTGCAATTTGGAAGAGTTGAATTTCCTTAAAAGTTAAATCTCTTATCTCTTTTCTAATTGCTATGTTTTTACAACTGTAAAATAAAAAATATAAAACTTTAAAATTTTAATAAAAGCATATTTAAAATGCATTATTAGATATTTTCAAATTTTAGGATTACATGTAAATTATTTTTTTAAAACATAAATAATTTATAAATAAATATTAAATTTATTTAATGTGTGTGTAAAATTTATATCAAGGGTTACAGTTAGAATTTTTTTCAAGGAGACCCAAAGTCAATGAACAAAAAAAGAAAATGCACATGTCACATGGACATACACAGTATATTAACATTAACATTTCTCATTATATTAGGGACATTAATTAAAACTACAGTATCTAAAAAAAATTAATAATATTAATAATTTAATACACTAATTTTATTCTTTGTGATATATCTTTAAATATTAAATGCAAGGGGTTTCAATTCCTTGGGCCTTCCCCTGATCTATACACAAATATATATTCTAAGAAAATATACATAGATAATACACATTATTTTTGTCTTATGTTTTGATTAAAAAAATATATAAAATAAAATAATATTTTCATAAATGCTCAGATACCTGCAAAACACTGCTCCATAACTATTACAATGACATTTTTCACAACCCAGATCAAAATCAGTATTTTTTAAATAAAAATTATTTCCAATTTGACATCCACCTTTTTCTACCATTAAACATTTTTCCTGTGCACAAGTTATTCCAGGATGAAATGCAACTACTTCATAAGTTTTATTATAATGTAATTTTTGACATTCAGATATTGATTCCTCCTACATTATAAACAAAAAAAATTTTATGTATAATTTTTTAAATTACACTAGATTAATTTAAAATTAATTATAATTTAATTATAATTAATTTTAAATTGTAATTTAGTAATTTAAAATTATTTTATTTACTCACTTTGCAAGTAAGATCTGTAATTTTAGGATTATTTGAAATTTGAAAACAGCATAAGCCAAATATGCATCTTTTTTCACATTCGGTTGAACTTGCAAAACTATTCGGAGATGCTCCACATCCTTTATTTGATATTATTTTAAAAATTCAAATTTAAAAAAAAAAACAAATAATTTCATCTGCACAAGTATGTAATTTTAAACAGAGTTATAAAAAATATTGAAAAAAAAATCAATTAAGTTCATAAATTAGCAAAATTCAGAATAAAATATTCAAGTAAAAAATTACTTATATTTTAAGTAATTTTTTATTTTTTAAAATGTTTAAGAAAACATTTACTTAAAAACATAAAACCAGTTTTAATGTATCTCATTACAAATAAAATTTATTACCTGAATATACATATTCCTCACATCTCTGTGTAAATCTATTAAAATACCACATTATTCTATTTTCATGGCAATCCCCATATCTCTTTGAATAAATACAAAAATTGATATTAAACTGACAGAATTGACCAACATAAGTAGCTGGACATCGGCAGATAAAATCTGTATAGTCTCCTTTCTGGTGGCATAATCCTCCATTCTGACATGGATTAGGAATGCATGGGTCATGACAACCTGGCATTAGTAACTGTTCACATTTGACTTTTCCTAACTTAAAAAAAAAAAGGATACAGTTGTTACTATATCTGTAAAATTTTGCCTAAGAAATGTAATTTATTAATGTAGTAATGCTATATTTAAAAGCTGAAAATTTATTGAAGACATAAAAAAATGATAAACCTCTTACCTGACATTGACAAATTTGACAAGGATGAGGATTCCACATCTCACCATCTTGATAAATACTATTATTGTATAAGCAGTGAGGCAGACAAATGCAACGTTCTTTCAGACGATTGATGAAATTATTGAATACGCTATTCTACGGGAAAAAATATAAATTTTGTGCATTAGTTAAACATTCAAAATAACAAGCTTTAAATCTACATTTTTATTTAGTAGACTGATGTAGGACAATCTAAATCTTGTCATAAAGAATAATGGTTTGATTTATTAGTACTTGTCTAGTTTAATTGAATATATCTTTGTTATGGTTCAAAGGCTTGAATCTTTTATTATTACTTGGATCAATAAAGATATATGAAGTAAGAACATGCTAAAGTGTAGAACTTCTACATAATTAATTTATTTACTTTTTTATAATTGTAATAACATTTAATAACTGTAAATCAAGCTTAAAAAACTTGATGTATTAACATATGTAATTAATGTGTATCATAATTAAATCAGTTCTTAAATTGATTACTGCTATTTTAATTTTTTTTTCTTTTACTTACCTGTTCCTTCAATTCAGAGATTTTATATTGAGAATTTTTAAGCCTTCCTATCAAATCTGCAATTCTAACATCACATGTTGGATTCTCATTGAGGCTATTTGATCCTAATTGAGAAAAGAAAAGAAATGATATATATAAATGTTTTCAGTTCAATAATTATACTTCAATATTTTCAACTTTAAATTTACAGTCAAAATTTTACCACATATTTCTGAATGAAAACTTTTACAAAATTAAATGTAAATTTCAATAATAAACAAACATCCCCTTAAGTAATTTCATAAATTAAATGTGGCCATTGTAGAGACTCTGTTTACTGTGTGTTTTTAATTAAGAAGTGTTTAAAAACTTATTAATTGTTTGAAGCTTAGTGAATGAATTATTACAGTTTTAAATTGGGACATTTTAAACTCTCAAATTTCTTCTTTTGGATCTTTATGGACAAAGACTCAGGTCTCTGTCCATAAAGATGGTGCAAAAATTAACCCATTTCACATTAACAATGATAATTAATGTAGAAATTAGTAATCTAAATAATAATCTAATATTTTCTATAATCTTTCGTACATTTAATGCTTTTTTCGAGGCTCTGACGATTCTTTCAAGGTGACTTCATCTTGAAAGAATCTCGTTTAAAACTTTACGCTCACCTCGAAATTATAAAAAAAAAATGATTTTAATCGAGACAAGCTTAGTGATTTTAACAAGCAGATAACTTGATGATTATTTTTATAGGCCTTTATCCTAGAAAAGGAAAAATGTTACGTGACGGAGCGCGACATAACTTTGTAATGGTGAAGCCACGCTGTATGTGACATACAAATAAACCACAATAAAAGAATTAATTAATTAATTTAACATACCAGCTTATTTAAACAACTTTAAAAAAATGGAAAAATATTCAAATTTTTTTTTAATTTTAAAGATTAAAAAATTATTTTATTTATACCGAATTTTTGCATATCGTCCACGTGTTTGTAATGTTAATAACAAGCTTTTGTCTATTATAATTTATTTTTAAATAAAATGTTCTCTTCCTTTTAAGGCCCAGAAAAGGCTCAAAATATCATATAATTTTACAGCAGCGGTGATATATTTAAATCAGTTCTGGTACAGTATCAATTGATGCTAATTTAATAATATAGCTTTAAGGAACATTTTTATTACTAAGGATGTAATTAATTCCAAATACGATTAAGGAGAGGGAATTAACCTGAATTTATTTATATACAAAATTATTAATTAGCTCACGAATTTTAAAGAACTAAATTCGGCTCTATAAAATTTCTTAGCTTATATTTGAAAAACTGCGTTAAGAACATGAATAAAATCTTAAATTAAACAAAATCTTGCAGGTAAATGTATATGAGAGATTTTTCTGTTTCATTTATTTTGAAAAATAAATAACTTATGGACGACTCACCTTGACTTTCAATTATTTTTGTTACTAGAATTAAACTTAAGAGGCTCCTCCATCTTACACGTTCCATCTTGTGGTTACTGTAGCGATACAGAACACCCTGACCTTTGTTTAGCCTGGCTCGAGTGTTTCCGGCCCCTCTGGTCTACAGCACCAAATTTAAACAGATATGTATCCCCCCCCTTTTCGAGAATCGAATTTCTTAATAGGCCTTACATATGTAAAAAAAAAATGGCGTCTCTCATCAGAACCATTTTTTCTACTCGGTTCAACATTCCTAAAGTCCGGGGGAAAAAACTATGTCCCGATGTTATAATCGTTTTTTTATATATACAGTATTAAAGTTTGATTGAATTAAACAGAAATTAAATTAACGTTGACAAATTTAACATCTGGAAAGCATCAGCGTAACTAGACCACGTGGTAAAGTTGGTATTGATGTGCTTCTAAAATGACAGATAGCAAGTATCTTTTTTTCCCTTGATAAAAGAAAAACAGTGTTGTATAAGATTGATTTCGAATTAAAGATGGATAAAGATTAAAATCCGTATCTTCCATGGAAATTTTTGGCATCAAAATGGTTCCGGTCACGATGCATTCGTGTAATGGAAAAATAGAAAGAAAGAAAAAAATAATAAATTAAAAAAAGTAAAGTCGATGACCATAAAAAGATAAGAGTGTCATTTATAATTTTGACGCGATGACAGACAAAATCAGGACACGTAAATATTGTGCTCATTCGAAGTGTTAATGAGTACATGAGATTTGTATGGTAACAGAAAAAATGGGAGAATAAAAATTGAAAAGGTTATCATATTCGCACCCTTAAGAATTACATTATAAAAACAAGAGTAGTTCGGAGTAAAGTTTTTTTTAAAAAATAAAAATATATCTAATGGAAAATTATACCCCAAAGAATAGAAAATTTATCTCTATTCCCTGTACGATGACAGATCCAGAAATTCTGAATCTGTGTATACTTTTAATCGGGCTGGACTTAGACTTGTTGTGGCCCTAAGCGATAAGATATAAGAGGCCCTTCTCCTCTACCAAATTATGTTACGTGTATAAATGTTAGGCCCTAAGCTGCAGTTTGTTTAATTTAGCCTATGTGCAAATTCGGTCCCCTCAATTAATGGTCGTGTCAAACTTCTCAACATCTGGGGTTATGAATACATTCGGGGATTTAAGTACGATAAAAGTTCAAAACAATCTATTATTTAATGCCCTGATCCGATTTCCGAGGGTCAGATCGGAGTATGGTTTATTTATTTATGTCACTCGATATCAATTAGCATATTTAATAGTCGTATATAATACTCTACGCCCTTTATGTGTAAACATAAATTTACGTAACTTCCTCTGGATCTGGATCAGATTTCAAACAACTCTTCGGGAGATGGGCTAATTCGGTAATTATGAAAAATCCGAGGGCCACCCCCAGCGGAATACGGTGAATGATAGTTTCGTTGACCCTCGGGTGGCCGATCCTGTTTTTGCCAGAATAACTACTCGGATTCAGTTCAGAGTCGTAAAGATTACAAGCTACAAGTGTCGCCGAGCTCTAAATATTGTCAAAATACAGCAGAAACACTTGTTCGTGTAAAGTTAGCTTGTATCAGGAAAGATCGGTAAAGATAACGGAACTGATAACGTTAAATCCCACGTCCAAACACAACATGTTATAACTTTAATCCTACTGGTTTTTCCCCTCTTAGAAGAAATTCGTGTTTTCCTCCTCTATTTTTTCTTCTTTTTCTTATCAGTCTGGAATTTATTTATTTTTTATTTTTTTTAAACATATCTCGAATATCATGCTGCTAACACTTTTATTACATAAGATTATATTTTCGTTTGGCAATGAATTTATTTATTTACTCATTTTTAAATTTATTTTTCATATACGAATGGAGCGAGTGCATTGGAACAATTTCATATTTTATTTATTATATATAATATAGGTCAATTTTGATTTATTTTAATAAGATAAGAAGATTTTATCGTTTTATTAACACCTTTCATCTATTAAAATTCGTTAATGATACTCATAAAAGAAAATTTTTCAAGGAGAACAAAAATATTACGAATTGTTGCAAAGATTCAATGCTAAAGGCCACATAAAATATTGCTTCGGGTTCTTATAAATCCCATATAAAGAAGGCCTCATTTTTTTCTCCACTTTCTCAGACTTAATAATATTTTTCTTAATCTTATATTTTTTTCTGAGGCCTTACACAGGCTGGATCTTGATTGTTCTTCGGATTAGACAATATATTAGTCAGTTACAATTACTAAATTATACAAGATTATCATCTAAGTTATTGGATTACAATATCAAACGATTTATGTGAATCCGTGTAATAAAATTAGCCAAAAAATTGGCATTAAAGATTAGCAATATCTTTATTTCTAATTATTTCTTTCGACTTTCATCCAGATATATTGTTCTAGATAACAATCGACTACCGATTTAATCTATGCCAGTTAAATATTCGAAACGATTATCCATTGTAACAGCAGATGTAGGGACTTAGATGGGTGCCTTCATCCGCCTATAAAATAATTTTATTACAAGATGGCTTTTCTAGCAAGATAAATGACGCAATTTTAGAGCCATAAATAGCAATGTGTTTACTAGCAAAGACGTACTACTGGTAACGTAATATTACCCGTATTTTATAATTTGTACATGGAGAATTTATTTTATAATTTGTACATGGAGAATTTTATGCATGAAATATTAACGATCATATCGAAAAGATTATTGTGACATAAGTTGCATTGCTTCCTGTCATTTTCCATTACTCATCGTATGAGGAGGTTTCGTACTAATTTATTGAAGCAAGGTACAATTCATTCAGTGCCGGATTAAGGAAATTTCGGACCTTAGGCAAAATTTGCCTTCGTGGCCCCAAGAGTTTGTAAGTTTATTATTTATATTTAATATAGAAGAAGCTGAAAATGTCACTACGTTCAGTATGAGAATTTGCAAATCGATTTACGAGTCTCTGTAAGATCATGGCGCCGGACAATTGCCTGGTTTGCCTAAGGCCCTAGGCTCTGAATTCAGTAAAATTCAGTTTCTGCCAAAAAAAACCAGACCTGTTCTAGCAATTTAGCTCTTTTGTCGTGCATCTCTGGATCTAAATTCTTGCAAAATAACTCAATTTCGCTGCCATATCTTTTGTAATGTATTAAATTTTCCATTATTATATGCCATATCAAATGGCGCCATCTATTGATTATTTTTTAAATAAAAAATCGATTTAAAATAAAATAAATATAATAATAACATATAATAGAAAATATAATGAATAAATAAGTTGCGCGTAACGACTTCTGCAGTTATTGATGCAAAGAAACAGAAGCGAGATGGTCTGATTCGATATATCGGAATTATCCTTTTAATTTTTTAAGATATACATATAATTATTATGACCTGAATAATATATACAATATGTTCGTCTACGTGTTTAAAAATTAATAATTGATTTTTATCGTTATAAAGAAATAATTAAAAATATCCATAATTAAAGATTTCTGATGCTAATTTGGAATTATTATTATTCGTTTTTCCCATCCCTTGTAACAACACTGTTTAGTATTTGTTCCTCCGGGGTAAAAATGTACTTTCTAAAGGAAGAAGAGTCTATGGACAATTCTACGTGTTCTATAATTTACACCTCTAAAAGGGGGATGGTAAACGCCCAAGGCACGACATATGCCTGGGGCTTGTCCTGAATACACGCGTTTGGAGCAGCTGTAAATTAGAATTACCGATATGTAGATAAAGGTAAATCGCATAAATTTCGTACTTTATACCCTGGCGAATTTAATATTGATACTCGAACTCGGAACATTCTCGGTCACCTCGTGAATTTATATGATAAGGTGGTTCAGTTTATCTTTTTCCATAAATTGTGTTCAATAGCCTAATAAAATAAATTATATATTAACTTAATTTTCCTGTGAAAAAATTGAGAAAAATATATAAATAATATATATATTATTTATTATAATTTATCGTGTTTTTATTTCTGTAATTATTTTTTATTTATTTAAATAAACAAAATTTTAAAAAAAGCGAGCATAAGTGAGTTTTAAGCATTTAAAAGCATGATATAAACAATTTCTTATTCTTTTAAACATGGGCTTTTATCCAAATTTTGCACAATTTTATATTTAATTAACTGCTTTAATTGATTTTATGAGATTTCAAAGAATGTTGTACTGTAGATAACTAATTAGAACAAATACTAATTAGAAATGTTCATACGCCATTTTGTTTTAAAATGGCACGAGTTTATCAATAATTTTTTTTTAATAGAAAATCTACATATAAATTGGCATATTATAATTAAAACATGGTCTTTATGTAAATATATATCGCTTGCTATTATATAACTTTGCTACAGAATAATTTTTGAAAGATTGAACGTATATACATCGTTTCATAAATTACATACAAATAAAATTATATAGAAATAAATTTCCTAAAAATTACTATTTAGTATAATAAATGATAAATAATTATTCAACAAGAAATTTTATAAATTATTGGTATTATTATTTGATAGTTCTGTCAATACAGTTCATATTTAATTCTCAGTCATGTTGCACTATAAACTTAAATGGTTTATGATTGTAAGATATTTAATGCTGCATTTAGAAGATTAATACATGCATTTTTACATATCTTGGATAAGACTTTGAAAGTATGAGAAAGAACATTGAAATCCATAATATTAGATATTTAATTAGATTCATACTAAGTCAAACCTTAAGAAATATATTTCCATTAATGTCTACATTACAATAAAATTCTAAATTTAGCTAGTAAAAATGTATTCTAATCAAAAATATTAAAACAAAGCCAATAAAAAGAGAATATTTTACTAGAGTACTATTATATTTTTTTGAAATTCTGATGTGTTATAGGCTAAGTGCCTTAGCTGTTTATTATCTTCAATGCCAAAGAGCTAAAGAACTGACATGAACACGTGTACACCTGTTCCAAAGCATAAATGTACTTACCAGTTTTAAAATAAGCTAGAACGTAAGTTGTCTAACAAGAAGAAGACAGAAAATTAAAAAAAAAAGAAAACAAGAAAAATTTTAATTAAATGAGACGAGTAATACTTATAAAATGATACACTATTAAAATTATATTTTCGAACTTTTTATCAAATTGCATCCGTGCGATGGAAGGACCTAAAATGTCATCTATTAACGAAAACGTTGCATTAATATTAAACAAGGATTTTAAAAAGAAGAAGAATAATAATAACTTTAAAAAAACGTTTAGTCAATAATTTAGCAATTAAATAATAATTTAACGATGGAAGATTAATGTAGACTACTTTTTCTTAACCTGTTTAAGACGAACTGTGTGTGTGTGGTAAATAAAAACTTCAATATTTAGATAAAGAAAAGTACAGATGAAGATGGAGATAATGGCGCGTGTATGAGTGTTTTCACTTTCGAATGGAGCGTGGTGTGTATCATTCCGAACGGAAGCAAAAGATGCTTCGTTAATGAGCATTTAATAAGCGTATTCGGTCAGTAACCTTTATTGGCATATTAATCGTGATGGACTTTAATGATAAGCAATTTAAATATAAGTCAGATGTCTAGTTTTTATGCAAAAGTCGTGATTATTGCGAGGAAGCTCCTCTTTTCCCATTTGTTGGCATGGTGCTAGAAGTTTTGATACGGTTGTTTCTTCCAGTTTAAAATTTTAACTATTATCGAACACATGACCCACTTAAGTAATTAGACGGTTATTAAAAAAATCCGGACGCACAAACTGGCTATCCTAATGAGCCCTGAGCTGCATCAGGGTCGTTTAACCCACATTCGAAGACAAATAGGATGATACCGACTGTTTAGGAGTTAAGAGGAAGAGAGGCCAACGTATCCTGTCTGTGCATATCTCAGAGTGCAGAAACCTTTGTGGGTGGTTCCAATCCAACCGGGAATTCTGTGCACGAATCGTATAAATGAAGAAGCAAAACTCCATACATCTTGTATAGCAAACATTCGAGTTTTGTACAATACATATATCTGTTGCATACAATAATTCTTCAAATATACGGTATTCTTGCTCCTGTATCCTTTGTGTACGTTGCATTATGCATCATTTTTTGGGCTTTTTATAGTCTATCCCAAATTTAGTTTTTTTAATTAGTCATTTTGTACATTGCATGTATATCGTTTATGGAGATTCCAGGCTTTTCCCTGAAGAGACTCAATTCTTCAGCAAGAATTCCTGTATACAATTTCATATTTTTCTTACTTTTCTCTTCAGGGGCGTAATATTTGGAAGGTCAAAAGAGGTCAAGAGGTGCTGCCCTTCTCCTCTCAGTTCGTTAACCCTTTATTTTTCAGGAAACTCCATTAATACCTTTTCCAAAACTAAACATTTAATAAACTAGTTCAGACCTGTCCAAGCTTCTGAGAAAAATCGTTTATTATCGAACTACTTATAATAAAAATAGTTATTTAGTGTGATGTTTAACGAGATGGTCATTCTGGGAAGGGGAGAAGTAAGCCAATGCAAGATGGGTCTGGGATCGTCATCCAAATTAACTGAACGATCACGTTATTTTAATGATCCCCTCTAGAACCTCTCCAATTAAGTTACGAGTGATTCGTCTTGTCATTAAAGTCAATTTTATGCTCTAGAAGGGATGGTTGAACCTGAAAATACTACAAGAACTTTTCGTAGAAGAAATGGCATTATGATAGTTCCAAGAGAGGACACAGAACTGTTTCCGTATTTATTTGAAGGACGAAGGTTCCTTCGGATCGAAGAAATCTAACTACAGATCTTCGCTAAGTAATAGCAAGCAGCGCGTCTCGGTTAGACCATAAATTTTTAGTTCGTGCCAAACTGCGGATGCGATCATTGTTACGAGGCCAGAGAATTAACGAAAGATAAACAATACAGAGAGAGAGGCAATAGAAGGGTTGCATTTTAAAAACGGTTCGAGACAGCACAAATTGCTGTATTGTTAGTTAGGTGTGGCTAAATTACGTGGGGTAAAAATTGATCTCCACCCAAGATGCTAAGGATCAATAGAAAATAAAACAAGTTATTGTATTAAAGTTTCATCCGGATCGATTATAATTACCATAAAGGTTGAAGCCGAGAGAATACCTTTTTCAGCAGAAGCCGTTTAAAAATCGAAGTGACCGCCTTGGAGAAAAAGCACACTCTGCCAGTTTCCGGCTCAACACGAACGCCTGCATACCAGGAGGTACTGACATTGACCCGCTGCCAGTTCTCGATATACCTGCACACAACATCGGCCACAAGAAGAAAACAGTCGGTACCGCTGCATTGGTACAAATCTCGGTGGTGCCACCATCCATGTTGGGTGCGATGACTCGTGCCATTTGACGATCTCGGCTGGGTGATCAGGTGGGACTAGTTCTACGGCAGAGGTGACGTTTTGTCAAGGTAGAGGTAATGTGGCCGTAACACTGAACTTGAACAAGCGCAAGGACAACTTTCTAAAGGGTCCCTATCGGGCCGTATCTGCATGCTAAAATGACCAACCAAAACAGAATGAAAGTGGTCGTCCTCGGCAGTTCCAGAGTAGGGAAGTCAGGTAAGTGATACGGGAGCACATTTTAAACGGCTCCTTTGCAAACGAGGATTTAATTTAGATAAAAACGAGTTGCCAGGGGAACCTCTCTTCTCTCTCTCTCTCTCTCTCTCTCACTTTTGCTAATTAGTATTCCGTGCCACTTTTACTCGGGTTAAGCCGATAATTTTGCTATGGGATTGACGTTTTCATTAATTTCCATCGGGTCACGTGGCGCGAAAGCGGTTTTTGAACCGTAAATACGCGCTGATCGAAAACGGTTGAGGCAGGAAATTCGACTGATAGTCAACGTCCGATAAGCAACTGGACCAGTTTTCGGGTTCGAAAAACAATCTCTTTTTTTTTGTTTTTAAAATCTAGATGTTGCAAGTACGTTTGACAAAATAATCCAGTACCAATACGTTAGCTAATAATTATAGGGCAGTGGAAACCATATAGAAGGGTGCAGTCGCATATATAGAGGCCGTTGGCCAAATGTACGAAAGGTGCATTTTTAATAACTCTTTTACTTGTTTTGGCAATCAATCATACGTACCTATCCTCCAAAAGGGGATAAGAAAAAAAAAGTTTCGTTTCTCTTCCCACAGATTAACATCTATCTAAGCAGGAGGGGCCTACAAATTTTTGTATTCCTTCCAAATTTGGATCTGGGTGGGTCGGCCTGTGAGACCTCGATAGTTATAATGCCTCTAAGGTTCTGTCGATCGAATCGCCGGGTAGCAGTTTCTTACCAGGTAGCTTGGTCTCGCGACCTTCTCCTCTCACGCGCGTCGCACTGACGAGTCGGTGGCATTTCGGAAACCTGCAAAAATAGTGGAGATACGGGCGCAAAATGATGGTCCCTTATCCAAACTGTTTGCGATGTTATCGTAGTAGTGTCTACACCGGGCTAATGGCAGACGGGAAGTGGATACCGTGAAGGTTGCGCTGCCCCAAGCGACAGATGGCGCCAACGCGTCGCCCATTCGCGCCTGTCTGTCAGTTCCTATCGTGACCTTGGCTAATGTTTTTATTTCTCATTATTTGGATGATTATTCCTTCTCGGCCCATAAAACTGGTCTTTTTGCCTTTTTATGAAGAGTACAGAATATATAACGTATAAAAACTCAGCGCGCGATTCGAAAATCGATCGCATAGAAGATCGCTCATAATGATCTCTAAAGGCCACGCTCGGGATTCCACGGGGGGTACAATGACTTTCCTTCGATTCGATTGCCAACCGATAACCTCTCACCGGTTGCATTCCAATTTTGGTATGCAATTCAATCAGTCTTACTGACCTAAAATTACTTCTTCCTCCAAAAAATGCCGAGGACAGTTTCTTAAAAAAATGCCATTTTCGTACGCCATAAATTGTCCGTGGACAAGATATTTCGGGTTTATTCACCCCATAACTCATTCTAGTTATGATTGCGCACGATGCTATCCGCAGAAATAGAGAAAACAAGACTATTGTGCGCGCTTTACTTTCTCCAACCGGCCTAGCCTGTAAGGATGCAAAATTGTACCGTGGGATCGTTCACCCGAACACTTTCGCTGCCACGTTTTAAATTTAGATATTCGTGTAATGCTGGAAATTTAGTATAAAACATGATTCTTTTCTCTCTTTTATGAACCTACCACACTAAAATATCTATTTTGAGATGGAAAAAGTAATAATGTAATCTCGTGGTCCGCACCATCTTATCTTCGCCATAATAGAAAGGGGAAGTTTGTAACACGGACAAAACTTTTTTGAATATCATCCACAAAAGGAAGATGTGGGTCGAAATTTGTAATCTCGAAACGTTTCGTGATTCACAGATTTGTTTTATGATTCTCTTCCGCGATTATTTTATATTTTGTCGTCGTAAAACTAACCTTATCGTTAAATCTTTCTGCCATAAAAAAAAACAAAACAAAAATTATAAGATTTTCGCTAAAAATGTTCAAGAAAAATATTTAGTTTCTCTTTTAAATTTAGACTAGAATAGCGACATTTTTTAAATTCGAGAATAGTAATAAAATATAAAAGGTATTTCATAATGTGAAACTTACCTTCTGACAATTACTAACAGTCAGAAGTACATGATTTAAAGGCTAAGAGGCAAAGGGCTTTGATATTTTCATTCATTCATTGACTTTTATCGTGGGAAACGGTCCCCAAAAAATACTGATAAACTGAAGAGATCTTAAGGATCGAAAGCTTTTTAGATAATTTGCCTCCTATAAAAGTTAAGGGTTAGAACCAAAATGGAAAGTCTGTCATCCAGACCACGTGTTTCCTTCCTATTTTTTTTTTTTTTTTTTTTTAATCAAAACGACCCTAAAAGTGAATCCAACTCGACTTTCCATAGAATCTAGTTCTATAGAAAATCCTTATCCAAAAAATTAGCAATCAATAATCTTTGGAAAAAAAGAAAAACTTTAAAAAATATAAATAAAAGCTGGTTCTACTCAAATGACAATAAACGGTACTTAAATGGCGCATTTTTTTATGTCGGATCAAAAGGTGGTACTGACGGATTGCCCATTTTTTCCCTTCTTATTGCGTAACGTTACTGGTTTTTATTACGGTTATATACAGGAAGATATCCATGATTTAAAACTCGAATGTTCTTCAAAAGAAGGCAGGTCATTGGAAACAGGAAATATTCCAAACGGAAGTTGTATGTAATACCCGGATGTATGTCCCCGGGTCGACTATCAAAACATTCAACTGGTCGCCTATTTAGATGCAGCAAACTACTAAAAGTGCACCTGTTATATTTGGCCAGTTTTCGCTCCAGAGCGGATCTAACAATAGGCCTAAATACCACCAGCAATGATGCTAGTGTATATTTTCCAATACTACAAAAAGAAAAATAAGAAGAAAAATATATAATATTAAATTTTAAATGGCAAAATTAACTTAAAAAATGAGTTATTTTCGTGGGGTTACCATTGAATTTTAAATTAAAGTAGAATTTCTGCGACGCGCGTCATCGCTATGGGTCATATGGGGGTTCAGAGAGATCGTTTCCTTCTACGACCTTGAACGCATTCTAACTATTTACATATCGGGACGTAGTCAAACGTAGGTCAACCGCGAAGCTGTTAGAATTGTTCGTGAAAACATGGCTGACCTCTAACTCTAATGTTCTTCATTGCATTTCACCTCACGAGCGACTTGATATAGTAGGGTTGAAAAGGATGTATGGTTTAAATTACCGATAATTAAAAAAAAAAAAAACTAAACGTTATTTTCTCTTTCCAGCTGTCACCGTTCGTTATTTAACTAAAAGGTACATCGGAGAATACAGTTCCAGCAAAGGTAAATCCATTGCAAATCTCGGTTTTAAATTGAACTTTAATTCTTTCGTTTTTTATCTGTTTATTGCCGGATGAAAATAGTACTTCTATTCTATGACGTGCACAATAGAATTATTTTCATTTTCCTGGAACATTTATATTATATAAGAGAAACAAAAACAGTACGTAAATTACGACTCTGTGCCAAGAAGTATGATTATAGTGATTATAGTTGGCAACAATTGAAGACTAGTTAGTTCTGGGCGCGCCACAAAGTGAAGGGTAACATTCGAATCGATAAAAGAATAATTTGATATTTGTGATTAAGCAGTAAATTTGAAATGATTACTTTAAAGTCCACATGCGAATTTTATGCAATGCGAATTTTTTTTTTTACTTCTCTTTTCTAATGTTTGCTTTTTTTTCCATCCAGGAAAACTCTGACCCTTATTATGATAATTTTTTGCCTAAGAGACGAAAGAAATTGAATTTTCCTTTAGACATTTTAGAAATTAAATATACATTTATCATTTCCGAAAAGAATTTTAATTTAATTTTTTTTTTTTACTTTTGCCAGATTTCATCTATCCGCACTGCGTTAACTTCGACAGCGTTGCGACAGAACTGGACATACTCGACACGTCTTTCTGTAAGGTTGGTTTTATTTTTATGTTCTACTTAAGGTTATTTACAATTTGGAGAGGCACGACAAGTGAACTTTCGTTGGCATTCACACTGGAGGCCAACTAGGGCTCACAAATCAAGATAAAATTAATCAACACAAACTAGTATAGGGAATACTTTCTTGCCCTCCATTTGACCTCTAGCATTACTGCCGCAACGCTAGAGTAACGTCACGCCGTCGAAACGCAGTTAACATTTAAAAAAAAGGGGGAATAATGGATACGTTGTTTCACCATTCTATCACTTTTTTCAGACCGCTTCCTGTTTATACGATCACATCTCTTGGGCCAACGCTTTCGTCGTAGTCTACAGCATTTGTGATAGAGACAGTTTTCAGCACGCTCGACATTGCCTGGAGACCATCAGCACTCTGAAAGGTCTTCGTTATGCACCAGTCATTCTCTTGGGTAACAAGAGAGATCTGGAACACGCCCGCCAAGTCGGTGTAGATGACGGACACGAGATGTCTCTACAGTATCAATGCCAATTCTATGAAGTTTCTGCCGCCGAAAATTACATAGGTGTCAGTTTAGCTTTCCAGAGTCTCATAAGAGAAGCTCGCGCATTGCAGGCACTCAGAACCTTACCTATAAGACGGAAGGTAGGTGCAGCCATGACTGTATCAAAGATGATCGGAATGGTTTTCGGAAAAAACGGTAAATCTGGAAGAAATGGCAAAAAACGGCCATCGTTATCCATATGACATTACGCCTGTCTTCCAGTATTATCAGATCACCTGTGAATAAATATATGTACAGATTCGGTACGCTTACCATTTCCTTCATCCTTAATGTCATATTTTTATCAATATTCGTAAGAATTTACTTACGAAAATATTTCAGAATCGTGTATATACATATCAATTTGTATATAATGTATGCAGGTACTGCAGGATTTATGGTATTATGTACAGTATTTTTTTGTTTGTTTTACTAAATATTTTGTACACGTTTATGGAGCCAGACTCCTACTTTTTAATTAAAAAACAATTTCGATTCGAGTCTCTCAATTCTTCTTCTTCGAGCGGAAACACAATAAATAATCTCGAATATTATCATCCCGTGTTATCTCATAACTTAATTATGAATAAATCAATTATCTCAATCATTAATACTCGAAGGATGATGACAGTGATAACGCTTTGGACGAAGACCCTATAGAAATGAAAGGACCTTGGAGAAATCCATTAAAAAGTTCGAGCAGCAGTTCATATAATAAATTAAGGAAGTTGCGTGATTAAATGTTTTGAATAAACATGAGCAACTCGATCTATCTGAAGATCTGTTCGATTGACCTACTCGTATTGTGACTTACTCGCTACGTTCTAAGATATATATTTGAATATTCTACCTCCATTTAAGTCCACATTCTACCATTATTCATGTATAATATGGCTATTGAAGTGATTCTTGTCTCCCTCATATTATAAATAATTATCATTATAATGATAGCTTCAGACAGATTAGGGATACGAAACTCATTTCTCATAACTATAGCAATAAATAACATGTTGTTGTTATTCGAAAGAAGACAAGTGGAAACCATAAATTATATTTTATCAGCTTTGAAATTATAATTTTTTTTCTTGTTTTTTAAACTAATGTTTACCGAGTCTAGTAATTATTTCTTCGTTGGACCACATCGGCTTGTTATAAAAAATTGCTGCGGTTTATAAAAATGGCGTACATAAAAGTGCAAGTGTGAAAAACGTGTGAATCGGCATAAATGCCGATTTCATATAGGATAACGTAATCAGAAACATTAGTTTTCTGGGAAGTGGAGCACAGGAAGTGAAGCTATATCCGTTTATATATTAAGGAATACAGGTGCTGGAAATTTACTTTGACTTGTATAATAAATAAAAGCCATTTTTCGCTCAAGTTATTTCTATATTTAGATACTTTTTTGGAGATTTTTGAACCTAAAAATCGGTAGTAGAAATAAATAACTATGCACAAAAATTATTCTGTAATTCAAATTTAAAACGATCTAATGCCATCCAATCGTTACTTTAATAAAAAGAATATTGTAAGCTTGCAAATTTACATAAACATGCTTAGAAAATTCAATATAAAAACTCTAAATCAGCTGAAAAAACTATAAAAACTACGCCCTTCATTAGTGATTCGGAGCTTGATTCCGAACAGCTGGTGCTTATCAAATATTCAATTCTTTCATATAGAGTTTAATAGCCGGCCATTTTATGTTTGGTCAGCTTACGGATGTTCGATAAAAATCAGTAAAATATTTTTTTATATACTCAAAGTAATCAGAATTTTTGAGTAATAAAAAATAATGAAGAAAATGAATGAAAAATTTTTTCCTCTTTTGACAATATCTTGCACTTTTCGCCATCTAGTGGCTTTAAAACGTATCAACTTTTACACTACAATTAAAAAACAATATATGTAGCTATTAAATTATAAAAACGTTTTTAGAAATTTATTACGTTATAAATATTTAAAAAATTAAAAAAATATATATCAAGTTACATAAAACGGAATTTAATTGTATATAAATATAATATTTTATTCGAAAACGTATAAGATAAAAAAAAGACCAAATAGTACCTAAATCTTCCACAGATGGCGACACGATACACTTCAAAACATTGTTTTTATTAATTGATTTTAAAAAATTATTTTCGTAATTTATTTATAATTTAAAAAGAATATTTGACACTTTTAATAAATAAAGCTAAATTAATATATAAAATGCCGAAATATTTAAATATTATAACGTATTTTAGTAGATTTTTTAAATTTAATATTTTATCTTAAAAACAGTTTGTCAACGTTTTGGTCGGAAAAAAGAGGAGGGAAAAAAACAGATATTCGCCTGCAAGCATAAAAAAAAGGAATAAAGAGGGGAAAAAAGTTAAAATCCATCACTTCAGACGGTTTTTCGAACATTTTTACCCGATGAAACGTTCTATTTTGGTCGAGTAAGGGGGAAAGGCGTTCAAAAACATAGTTAGATAGGGAGACGATTTATCATAGACGTTGTGTCTGTTGTGCATTAAGAGGAGAGAAAGATAAGAGCATCAGATGGCTCCAGCAATCTCGGCGTCGTTTTTATGATCTGTCATTGCTACACTTTTTAAATACGCCAGATGCGATCGGATCGCCATCTCGCGACCGATTCGTGTACTAACCTTTTAAAAAAATATATCGGTAGCGGATCGTTGTTGCCACTTAAACAAAAGGCTGACGACACGCGTCGCTTCTAAATTTAACGCTACTAAAAAAAAACTTACCTCCTGTATAAAATTAATTAAAAAGAGTCCTGTTGTTGTTTTATAGTTTTTTAAAATAATTATATCCGTGTTTTTCCGGATTTTTTTCCTTTTTTTTGTACTTTCGAGGGTACTGATAAGTGGGCTTTCGGCAATTGTTGAACGTGCTGGAAGCTAGGAAAATATACCCACATGCTCTTATCCACCCTCATGATGTTTGAAATGCAGAAAAGAGTGAAGACAATGTGGGTCATCCGCTATTTATACTTATCGAGATTGTGGTCAAAACATCTGTGACTTTACGATAGAGAAAGGATTAGAAAATGGATAGAAAGCTATCCAGCTGGAGGGATTTATTTTAATTCTAGATATAGCTAGCGAGATACAATTCAAACACATTTTGACCCGGTTACACCCCAACCGAGAAAGCTCACACGCGTGGTTTGTAAACCGGCGTCTGCTTTTTACACCTGCTCTACATGACATTATTGGCCAGGATGCTAACGATTCCAGGAGTGAGGTACCCGTCTAACGTGATCTTTTTCCTCCTACCCAGACGGGAATATATTATTTAGTGATGCCATCATGAAGACATAGGTTAGATTTATGAACGCCGTAGCGGGGGCTGATTCGTGTTTCTTTATCGTTGTCTACATTGTCTTACTCCTCGGAACAAGAGTAGGAAAAGGTTATTGTACTCGAGACCGGACGTTCTTACCTCTTTTGTGACGACACAGAAGCCGAAGGGGCAAACCGCAACTCGATTTGAGGGTTATCCAAATTTCAAAAGGCCCTACTCTCTGCAGGGTCAGTCGCTTAATTATTTAAAAGGTTACCGAAACTTGTCTCACTTTTCGTGAAACCCCGAACGTGCCAAGGTCCCTCGTACAGCTGTGCAAGTGTTTATCGCACGAAAACTTTAATCTCGTTACATTAAGGGAATTACACACAATATGGGTAAGAAGAGTTCCAGAAGCTAGACAGATGGTCGAATCAATTAAGGGATATTGTCCAATGTCAGTGATTGTCGCAGAGTCGGGAGAGATCATAAATTACTTAGCTCCGTTTATATGATGGTTCGGACGGTTAATAAAGCCTCCTCTAATAATTCTAACCATAAATAACATTCTTAGATGTTAGTAAGTGACAAAAAAAGAAAACTATGGCGAACTACACGAACATGTTTACAGCCACGGAGGAAATTTTCTATATTTAACTCATTGCATATATAGGGATAAATATTTTTTGTTTGGAATTAGCAGATAGGAAGCTGTCCACGCTACAAAACGTGGACAGCTTCCTATCGTTTTAATTTCCTAGAAACTCGAAAGGAGTGGCAATAGAGCACAATAGGCTCTTCTTTACTATTTTTTTAATCAAATTAGGTCACATATTCCTGTTGTTTTTTTATACTTATTGGTAGCATAATGGTAGTATTTTTAATGGAACTTAGTCACCTCGCCGGATGCTTTTGATTCGTCAGCTAAATACTTTAATCAGATAGGTTGCCGCGAAACACTTAACATTTTTTTAGTGGCGAATGAGTAGGGGAAGGCAGTCTGTCAGGTGAGATGATGGAATTGGTCGAGTAGATGAAAAGGTAGCGAGCATTCCAGGTGAGTCACTCCGCATTGTAAATTCCAAAGGGCTGCTTGACATAAACTGGCCACGGCGTATGGCACAGCTGGTACATAAACAAACCAGTCTCTTACATCGATTTGGTACAAGATGACGTCTCGCTATTGATTGGATGGAATTCCACGTAAGATTACTGCTAGCTATTCACTGCATTCCAAGTATGTGTCACTTCTCCACATCAACTATTCACTCGCCCCTTTGTTCATCTCTCCCACGCTACGAAAACCTAAAAAAACTCCGAGGGACAAACCTGGAAGCTTAATTCGCGGGAGAGGCTTTTAAGGGGTCATATACGGTATTTTACCTCCATCCTACTTAAAAAAGAGCAAATTTTGTCTAAAGATGAACGTGGAGAGGATATTAGAATGTCCTTTTATACCGTAAAGAGTGTATCGGGATGCCTCTCTCTGTTATTAAAAGCAAAAATATGATCTGACAGAAAACAAGATAGGATTTTATGACTCATTTTTTCAATATAAATCTAATTTTACTCTCGTCACTTCTATAACTATTAAGGAGCTGTTTCTATTAATATTTTCTAGCCCTTTAAAATCTGTAAACATTAGCATCATTTTGCTTCTTCCTAAATTAAAAAAAAAGGTATTTTTTTAAAGTTTAGCTTTGATAAATGCCTGACAAATTATGCAAAAAAAATAATTAAAAAGAAAAAGAAACACATCTGGAGCTGTAGCTTCAGCCGGGTAGAGAAGAGATAAGGAAGCTGGAGAAGCAGAGATGAGATCAGATGAGAAATGCTCCGAGAGATCTCTAGTTGAGAGATGTTAAACGAAGCGAAATTTATTTTGAGGGGGGGAAAAGAACATTTACGAGAAATTAATAAATTAGAATGTAGCTTTAATAATTTATTTTTAGATTTTTATCAGCTAAGTTAGATAACCTAAGAATGGATTTAAAAATACTTTAAAACGCTCTTCTAAGTAGCCAATTTAAAAATATATTTATCGATTATATCTAGTCCAGATCAAATAGTTAAAACAGATAAGAGAATAAACAAATATAAATTTTATTATCAAATTATTTAATCTTATAAATAATGAACAATTTCCGGATTTGGCGGGAAAATAAACGGCAGGGTAGTATTATACTCTATATACAATATCATTGTGATTTTTTTCTTCCTTTTCTCGTCGCACGTTTCTGTTTCCTCTCTTCACTTTATTAAAATAAATGAAAGACGAAAAATTTGGAAATAATAATAATCGCACCTAGTTTGTCAGGGTGTCCTTGACAGAAGAATGTCG